TTCAAAACTTTGGGGTACCATGGCAGGATTTTGATCAGCACTATCAGGATATTTCTGATGTGTGCATATTCACCGGTTTCCAGGCAGTGTACAGATGCCTTGGTTAACTTATAATGCCACTTGTGTACCACATGCCGAAAATTTTCATAATCTAACTGGTCAGCTTTGTTCCCACCATCAAAACCAGTTGCCCGTAATATGGTGAGAAAGCCGGGATAGTTGCCACACACCTTTTCATATATGGCTCTATCACTATGCCACCGAGTTACAGTAGCAAGCATGCAGCAGAGAAACCTGCCATATCGACTAGCTTCATTTTCAGTACAGCTGGCTACAGTATAGATTATATCAGAGAATACTCTGTCATAACAAAGAAGTGTTGAAAAGTTTGGTGTTTTCTGTTGATGCACCAGTTCCACAAAGCGAGCGCAGTAAACAGCATCAATGGCAGAAAAGATACACCGAGGAAATATACACAACTGCAGAAATTTTGTTATAGTCTCATTTTTGGTGGACTTTGCAAGAAGCCAATTATCCTTTTCCAGCTTCAGTCTCTGCAGCACTCTTTGCACGTGCTCTAACTGTTTCTTTTCCTCTTCAAGAAGCTTGTCCTGAAGAACTGTACAGCGCTCTTTTTCTTTTTTCTTTTTGTTCAGAGGCATTTCCGGGTTGTCATCAATAGCTTTCATCTGGACTTTGAGTTTGTTGACTTCCCGTTCGTAGCTACTATGTGGCACAGCAAGGTCATACATTGTCAGTGACCAGAACGTAGCATAGAACTGTGGACTGATATCATCCCAGACCTTTGGGATGTGCAAGGAGATCACCGAGTCATGAACAGGGGCCATCACAAGCTCACACGCTGTAATGTATTTGTGAACTTTCTGCTGCTGTTTGTTCCCTTTCTCAGCCTTTTTCAATTCATCATATTTTGATGAAATGTGATGTGCATACATAGGTCGTGAAAGGAAAAATGCAGCATCGTGAGGGGTGTGGAACTCATTACAGAGAACATCAATAGAAGGCACTCGCTTAATATAATCATCTGTGCTTAAATTGGATGCCAAAAATCCACCGAATTGTACCAGAGTATCATGGCACTGATCATAGAGCTTTCCCACCAGCTTCAAATGTTTCTCCCCTCCTTCTTGAAATATCACTCCATTTCTCTGTTGAGCCATGAGAAGGCACAGTGGAAGGGCAAGATCGTGGTCCAAAAGTGCATCTTTTAATCTCTGAGAAGATTTCTTAGTGTTTCTGATCTGCCCAAAATATCCACCCTCTGCTTTCAGCTGCTCTCCCCCAGTCATGGCCTCTAGCTGGTCCATTGTCATCTCTTCAGTGATTTCTATTCCAGCCATTTTTTGTACCACCTCTTTTAAAATAAGCAGGTCAAAGCTTTTCCCAGCCTTTAGCTGGTTTGCCACATACTGAAGTAGACCAGCTAGTTCGATAGGGTATTTTCGAAAAACAGCACCAGAGAAGCTAGCTAAACTTTGGAGCCAACTGGAGATTGTGGTGTCATCGTGTTTCATCCTCTCCTTCTCAGGATTAGCCAGTGCTTCAATTATGCAATATGCCAAGACATCATAGTTCAATGAAGTGAGGTATTTCAATGAGTCGACAACTGGGGTGATTAAATTATCATACTTCTGTATCTGAGACAAAACATAATCAAATAAAATGGTTGGGTTGCTGTGGCTCAGTTTTCCTATTTGTCTTCCAGATGGCTTTACATTTTCCTTGGTTAAACGCTTCATAATGTGTTTGGCTCGGTCAATTGTCTGAGCTTTAACTCTCACCAGTAGTGGGTGACTATTGTATGTTTCATTCTTCCACTGTCCATAGAGGCGATACCGATACTGGTATGGAAATGTTTTAAACATCCCCCAGAGTTCCTCAGAGATGCATGCATTACAATCCATCAAAGAAAGAGAAGGAAGCAAAACCTGGTCGGTAATACTCAGCAAACAGCTGAATAATAAGTCCATTTTCTCTTTATCCTTTTGCTTGCCTGCATCTGCTTGGTGCTCTTTCATAAATGCTTTTCCAAGACGCACTACTTTTGCAAACAATATGGGGTCATGAGAGAGATGGGGGCCAAGGTAACAAAGCATGCTGATCACTTCCTTGCTTAAATCTTCAAAACTTTCTACTTGCTTGGGTGCTCTCTTGTTTTGCAAAGGAAAAATTGGTGTCCCTTTGGCACCTTTGGGTACTCCAACTCTTCGGTAGAGAGGTTCAATCATCACATGAAGAAGGTGACAAAGAGCAACAGCAATAGGTTTGTGTGAAGTTGCATAAAATGGAGGCATCTGGTCCATAATGTTTTGTGCATGTTGCCAGTCACCAATTTTTAACATTGCTTCTAATAAGCCCAGTTTCTGGTTATCAGGTGATTTTTCTGTTTTCTCCTCTTCCTTTTCCTTATCTTTCTCTTCAGTCTTTTCAGAAGATAATACAACAACTGTAAGCTTCCTCACAATTAGTTTGGCTTCTCCAATTTCTCGTTTATGTTCTTCAGTAATAGTGTTGTCTGCTGGAAGGAGATGTACATAAAGGTCTTCCAAATCTATCAGATTGCTTTGCAAAAGTACTGCAGCAACTCTATACAAAGAAACAGGTGTCTCTCCATTTGGCTCCTGATAACACTTGAATTTGAATCCAAGGATATGGCAGAGTGTTTGAGGTTCACACATGTACATGTAAGATTCTATCAAAGGTACAAAGAATTCATCATACTCTGGCCTGCATTCATAGACTTCTAAAATAATATCCAACACTCTATTGGGATCAAGGTTGAAACACCCTATTAAAGATTTGATATTTTCTAAGATCAGCTCACTAGTGATATTGCCAGATAAATCTTGGCCCAGTTCAGCAATCAGTTTTGCATAACCTTCATTCTCTTCTCTTAATAAATTGAATTTCTGTTGCTTATAGAAAAGTTTTGTCTTGATTTTCACAGATTTCTGATTAAATTGCTGAGACTGCTTGATCAGCCCTAATGATTCTAATGTTTCTGGGTCCAGACGTTCTTTTAGTATAGTATCTGAAACCAAGTACAAACATGCTGACACCAACTGCATGAACTGATCCCTCTTGCTTTTTTCTTCTAAGCAACTAGTTTCAATATCCAAAATGCAAAAGACATCTGCCAGGATGGAGGGCATGTCTTCCCGCAATTCTATTACATCCTTCAAAACACTGGATGCGTGGTCATGCTTTAGGTTTCCCTTGACAACATGGGATGCAAGCTCATATAAAGCCTGCTGGATACCTCTGAAAGTGACATTTTCAGACAGATTACGACAATGCTGCAAGAATTCGGTCTTGCCCGATTTGTCCCAGTTCTTGATCCATTCGGCAGGGAGAGCCGCCGCCCTGGACGGCACCGCCGAAGCCGCTGCTCCCGCCGCCATTTTCGTGGTGTGGCGCCGAAAGCCGGAGGTCAGAGGGGACGAGCATGACGGGAAAGTGGGCGGCGAAGGAGGAGGAGGACGAGGACGGGGAGGAGGGAGAGGCGGCTTTCGAAGGCGGGAGAACCTGGGCTCCCTCTGCGACATGGCGCGGACTAGAAGCAGGGGCAGCGCGGGGCTCCCCCGGGAGGAACGGCACCAAAGCGGATGCCTACTCTCGAGGAAGACTCCAGCCGCTTTGCAGGGAACTGAAGGCGAGCTCAAAACACCTTCCAATCCCTTTAAGCTGTGGCAACAGCCACCTACCCGCCTTGAGTTTGTAGCGGGGGAGGGGAGGGGGACATAGTGAAAGGGAGAAAGAGTGCGTGCCAAAGTTTGCGGGGTCCCCACTTAGAAGCCCCCAAAAACACGCGCGCGCACCTGCAGCTGGCTTTAGCCTCCCTCCTTGCTGAAAGCAGTCCTGCAGCTGCTGCTGCTTTCGTGATTCTGGTTTCTTCTTCCTCTCCCGTATTTCTGCTTCTTCCAACCATCTGCAAAAGGGGGGAAAGGCTGCAGCTTAGCGGCGAAGCACACGCATTGCACGCATCAGATTTAATCCCCGGCGTCCTGGGAATGTCTTTTCTGAAAAGCTGGAGGGCCGCTGCCGGTCAGTGCTGACAATACTCAGCTCGATGGAGCAGTGGTCTGATGCTTGGTGTGATGGAGTTTCCAGAGTGATTAAGCCAGCATTACTGGCGAGGTTTCCAGAGTCTCACTTCCGTGCCCTGAGGACCGACAACCGGGAAAGCGCAAAAAGGTTGTGGGCTGTTAAAAAGGGGTTGATGCTGGCAGTTCCAAACCTTGCAGAAACTGGTATCTTTTTTTAAATAGACTATCTTGAAACTGCCGTTTTTCCATCCTGCAAAGAAAATGCTACACTGTTTATTTCAATGACATATCAATATCTGATGCCAGTATTGTATTGTTGGCCTTTGTCTGTCTCAGGAGGCGATGGAGAGCACCTTTGTGGGTGAGGTCAAGCTGTTGGAAGGTTGCAGCTGATTTCTCTGAATGTTTTTGCACTTGTGTGCATTGCTGTTTTAGTGTGGTTGACACCAGGCAGGCATCTCCACGGCACTGTTTTGGCACCAGCTTAGTTTAAAATGTTTTTTATATTATAATAATACATAATTTATTATTCATACCCCGCCCATCTGGCTGGGTTTCCCAAGCCACTCTGGGCGGCTTCTTTCAACAAAGTATTAAAATACAGTGGTCTGTTAAACATTAAAAGCTGTTAAACATTCAAAGCTTCCATAAACAGGGCTGCCTTCAGATTCTTCTAAAAGTCTGGTAGTTGTTCTTCTCTTTGACATCTGGTGGAAGGGTGTTCCACAGGGCAGGTGCCAGGACCGAGAAGGCCCTCTGCCTGGTTCCCTGTAACTTGCCATCTCGCAGTGATGGAGTCTCCTTCTTTGGAGGTCTTTAAGCAGAGGCTTGACAACCATATGTCAGGAGTGCTCTGATGGTGTTTCCTGCTTGGTAGGGGGTTGGACTCAATGGCCCTTGTGGTCTCTTCCAACTCTATGATTCTATGATTCTAGGGAACCGCCAGAAGGCCCTCGGCGGTGGACCTCAGTGTCCGGGCAGAACGATGTGGGTGGAGACACTCCTTCAGGTATACTGGACTGAGGCCATTTAGGGCCCTGGTTGGTGGGGCTTCAAGGATGCCTTTTATGGGCCTGTACCAGGGCCAGCCCACCCATGAGACAACGTGTGGCATCAGCCTCCGGTGGCAGGATTAACAGGGGCAGCAGATCCTGAAGCAGATCTTGCTCCCCTCTTGTTTCTGACTTTGACTAGCTCCTCCTTCTCCGCAGGGCGGAGGGCGGCATTTTTGTAGTTCGCCTCAAGCACAAAAATGCCTTGGGCTGGCCCTGGTCAGGACACTGCCTATGAAGTTCAGGCCCATCTCCCAGAATCCTTTGGGGGAAGAAGCCATAACTGTTGAAACTGGTATTCTAGATCTCTAAATGCGGGGCGTCTGCGTGGCCTCAGGGGCTGCCTGCCACAGAGAATTCATTCGTTCATTCTTCTTATTAATTTCATAAAAGCATATACTGCTCGGTTGTAAAAGATCTCAAAGCGGTTTGCGAAAAGAAGGCCCTCTCCTATGCGGCCGCTGCCGCCACTGTGCTTTTGAGGGTGGTGGGACAAGCAGTAGGGCTTGTTCGCCCTTGCCAAGGGTGTCAATAGGGAAGGAGGAAGCCTTTCAGGTATTTGAGGCCTGAGCTGATTAAGACTTTAAGCGCATGAGCACCTTGAAATGGGTCCAGAAACAGACTGGCAAGCAGTGCAGATGTTTTAAAATGAGCCTTGCAAAGTCTAATGGGGAGACTTCATTAGACCCATGGGGCAGAAGTCCCTCTACCTTGCTGTAAGGAGACTGCTTTAACTCATTCCTATTCTTGGGGCAAAGATAGATAAATTCCTATCTCCAGTCCATCTAGTCTTGCACATCTCTGTATTTCCCTCCTAAGCTTGCATTTGTGTCTGCAATTAAAACAACAACCAGCCCGACCTAGATTTGCTTGAAAATACAGCGCATAATGTACATTTACTATAAGGGTAGTCCAAGGACTGTCTTGAATTGTCCATACCCTCCAAGTCTCCCTATTTTCCAGGGACATTCCGAATTTAGAGAAGCCGCCCCAGTTTCTGATTCCATCCTGGAATGTCCCACTTTTCTTTAGGATGTCCCAGATGGTGCTGTGGGTTAAACCACAGAGCCTAGGACTTGTCGATCAGAAGGTCGGCTGTTCGAATCCCCACGACGGGGTGAGCTCCTGTTGCTCGGTCCCTGCTCCTGCCAACCTAGCAGTTCGAAAGCACGTCAAAGTGCAAGTAGATAAATAGGTACCGCACTGGCGGGAAGGTAAACGGCGTTTCTGTGTGCTGCTGTGGTTCGCCAGAAACGGCTTAGTCATGCTGGCCACATGACCCAGAAGCTGTACGCCGGCTCCCTCGGCCAGTAAAGCAAGATGAGCGCCGCAACCCCAGAGTCGGTCATGACGACCTAATAATCAGGGATCCCTTTACCTTTACCTTTATTTTCACTGGTGAAATGTTGGAGGTTATTGAGTTATCCAACACGCCCTGCCTCCCCACTGTCTGATGGCAAACCTGTATAGGGAAAGTTTTTAAATGTTTAATGTTTTATTATGCTTTTATATATGTTGGAAGCTTCTCAGAGTGGTTGGGGCAACCCAGTAATATGTGTGAGATATACATATTAAAATTATCATGGAATGGGATGTCCCTATTTTCATTTGAGAAATGTTGGAGGGTATGGAAACGTCCCTGTTTTGTTTTTTAAGAACTAGTGATGGAGAACTTTGTTTTTTTAAAAAGCAAACTTAATTCACACCTCTCTCATTAATACCTCAGTCAGAATGTATACTTCAGATTTTGCATTTCTTATGAGTTTTGTGATAGTTTTCAGCGCATAAAATGTACCAAAATGCATATTTCCTGATATGCTAGGTTCAGAATTGCAAATATTGAGATAAAATACACATTTAATTGCAAATTTTCATATATATTTTTTAAAAAACCCAACAGCAACTCATATATTAATGGGGTTGAACTGGACTTCTGAATGTACACTTGATATGGGTCACATTGAAAATGACCCTTAAATTAGTTAGGAAAGCCAGCTCTTGATTCTATAGCTGTTGCTGCTCATGTTCAAAGTGCCCCTGAGTGCAGCAGGTTGTGATGATCTGCCATCCCAGGAATTTCATTTGGAAATATAAAAATATATTTCTTCCCCATGGAACATCTCTGCTGTCACCCTCTTGTCAAATGTTCTAATTTATTTATAATATAATATAATATAATATAATATAATATAATATAATATAATATAGTGTAAATACATCATTATCGTTGCATTATTTGTATTTATTACTCACACTACACAAAAACATCTGTGGATAGGTTATAGCATGTGGGAAGGGAGTCTGACATTCATGGAGCCATCACTGAGAAGACCCTCAACTGAGTTGTTGCCCTCCAAACGTGTAAGAAAATGGATCTTTCACTGATCTTATTCCTCAGGCTGGATTATAGGAAGGGAAGTGCTCATTCAGATATTTGATGTCCAAGTTATTGAATGTGATAAGGGTTAGGAGTTTCCACATCTTACACACACACACACACACACACACGTGGTAAACATTCTGCCAAGTGAGGAGAATTGTATCATCCCTCTGCTTCTGAAGATTACGAGCAAGTCTCTGTTTACACCTCATCAAATGTATACATACACACTGCGGGAAGTTGCCATTTGACCTGCAGACATTTCCCTTTGCAGGCTCTTGGTGCCAGAAAATTTGTTTTATCATAGAGAGTTTCTCCACTGCTTGTCACCTGTGGCAGTCCCACCAGGATGCAGACTCTCCTGAGATCTTTCCTCTTCTTCGTACTTCTGACCAAGGGTAAGAAGTAGCTGGGAGCAAGTTGGAGATGGGCATGCAAGACGGAGTGTTTGTTGAGTGTTTGTTGTCGCAGAGTTGGAAGGAAAGAATTTAAAATCTCCTGAGTAGAGGCTCTTTAGAGTCTGTGTTTCCAAAAAATCTTGAAAGAAGGGTCACGGCTTGGTGGCAGAACACCTGCTTTGCATGCAGAATGTCTCAGAGTCAGTCCCTGGCATCCCCAAGTAGAGCTGGGAGGGAACTCATCCCGAGAGGGCTGCTGTCAGTCAGTGTAAACAATACTGAGCTAGGGAGGCCAAAGGTCTGGCCTGCTGATCCCCCTTCTAATTCCTGGCTCCAGCACAGATTCCATTCTTTGAATCATTGAGCTAGCTTTCTGGTGAGGCCCTCTAAGTATGGGTCATTAAGGTAACAAAAGAAGTGGCTCTGTGCCAGATAAAAAAAATAGGTGGCTCCCTCTCCCTCAACTCACTGGTAGTTAGAAAGACAAAGGCCAGATTTGAGAGTTGAGTTATGTGAGCTAGCGGCTGGGAAGCCAGCAAGACTCTGCTTGAATCCAAGGCTGCAGCTAGACTCTTTTGGGGTGCTAATGCTGTGGACCCCTCCCCTGCAGGCTCTCGTTGTATATATGTGTAAATAAACCATATACAGTGGTACCTTGGTTCTCGAACTTCATCTGTTCTTGGAGTCCGTTAGACTCCTGGAACTGTTCGAAAACCAAGGCGTGGCTGCCGATGGGCTGCAGGAGCTTCCTGCACTCAATTTGAAGCTGCAGAAGCCGCGTTGAACGTTCGGCTTCCCAAAAATGTTCACAAACTGGAACACTTCCAAGTTTGCGGTGTTCAGGAGTCAATTTGTTCGGGAACCGATTTGTTTGGGAGCCAAGCCGTTTGACAACCAAGGTACCACTGCATCATAAAGGCACCACAACCTCCGCTGTCCCTCATCCCAAAGGAAACACGAACCTTGGGGAAGAGCCAGGAACCTCTGGAATCTCACAATGTTTGGAGACTGGGATGGCAAGCAACCATGCAATGCTTAAAGGAGTCGAGGGTTGGTGCTATTTTATACCCCCACAAAATGATCACTTTTCTTCCTTCTTCCAGGTAATTCTTTGGAGTGTGAAACTTGTACTGATGTTGGCACCAGCTGCATGGGCAGGATGAAGACCTGCGCTGAGGGCCAAGATACTTGCATTGTTGTGTTTCTTGAAAGTATTATAGGTAAGTGTAAAGGGACACACACACAATTAAACCCACCAAACCAGGAAAGGACGACACACACAAAGAGAGGAAAACACAGGGTGGAACAATAGAAAAAGGTTTATTTCAAGCTTAAGCAAGAAAGAGGCACAGAGAGTTAATACTCCAAGATTCTGCACACCAAGTAAATGCAAGAAGCTCATTTTTATCTACAAAGTTTCACATGAACACTACATGTTATGAATATGCATAAGTTACTTGAGGGATCATCTGCACATGTGTACATTTTCATTGGTTACAGAAACATGCTCCTATCTAATGCCACGGCAGCGGGGAACTTTTCATCAAAGTTGCGTTCTCATGCCCTTCAACTTTTCTGAGATGAAAACAGGGACGCCCTAAGGAAACGCGGGACATTCCGGGATCAAATGAGAAACTGGGACGGCTTCTGTAAATCCGGGGCTGTCCCTGGGAAATAGGGACACTTGGAGGGTCTGCATTCTTTAGCTAATTCTACTATCCCATATAAATGTTGCATTCTCAACTGCCTGCCTTACCAAGCTGTCTTGAATCACTAGAGTCCCCATTCCTCTGCTTTGTCCCAAGGCCTTAGCTCTGCCAACAGATAGAGAAGCCTTGCAGCTTCCAGGGGTCCAAGAGGGGAGGTTAGGCTTGCAAAGAAGAGAAAAGTATAATTTATTCACAAGGGGGAGAGGAGGGAGAAGAGAAAAACCTCAGTTTTTAAAAACGGGAGAGAAGGCCATTTGTACTTTACCCCTATTCACATCAACCACTCTTAATATTGTGTGAAATAAGGTGGATGCTTTCATTGTGACTGAATGAACCTCTTTTTCTTCTCTTCTTCTGCAGATGGCAAGGTGCTTCAGACTGTAGTGAGAGGCTGCGCATTCTCTGAGAAGTGCAATTATCCCCCAAAGCACATGACTATAGGGAAAGGGAAAAGCATAAGGACCAGTCTGAGCTGTTGCACTGGCAATGACTGTGCATTGATAGTCCCTCCACGCTGTAAGTGCATATATTTTCTCTTCCCCCTGTCCTACCACCACTATTTCCTTTTCGTAGGATCATAGAATCTTAGAGTTGAAAGGGTCCTGAGGGTCATCTAGTCCAACCCCCTGCAGTTCAGGAATCTCAGCTAAAGCATCCATGACAGATGGCCATAGCTTGCAGGCTGGCGCTTTCTGCAACGCTGCATTCCGAAGGTCGCATCACATTGAGAGCCAGTGTGGCGCAGTGCTTAGAGTGCTGGGCCAGGTCTTGATCCCCTGGTGACTCACCTCCCTGTCTCGCCCGAAGGCAAGCACTCCTCCTGCGAGTACTCAGGTCTCTCCTCTCACACCTCACTCTCTGCAGCTTGGGAGATGTCGGTGGGTTACTAGACCCAGAGGCCGCCTCAGCCTCTCCTGACCCAACCGGTAGTGGAGCAGCTGTAAGTGATTGCCCAGCTGAAGGCAATGAGGTAATCCCCTCATCTGGAGCCAGGGCAGACTCAGGCCCCTGACTCGGCCCAGCTGGTGCTTGTTGCAGGGGAACCTGTGCAAACTGGGGCTCTTCAGAATCAGGCCCCAGACTTGGTTCACCTGCCGCCTGAGGCAAAGGATCTGGTGCGGACTGAGACACCTCTGATTCCGAGTCTGAGCCCGGGTCCCAGGCCATCACAGGGTTGTGGGTTCAAGCCCCACATTGGGCAAAAGATTCCTGCATTGCAGGGGGTTGGACTGGATGATCCTCGCTGTCCCTTCCAACTCTGAGTCTATGATCTTGGAGACCAAGGTTCAAATCCCTGCTCAGCCATGAAGCTCACTGGGTGCCCTTAGGCCAGTCACCATCTCCCAGCCTAGCCTACTTTACAGGGCTGTTGTGAGGATTAAATGAAGAGTGGGTGAACCATGCCACCTTTTGCTCGGGGGAAATGTGGTATAGAAATTTAAGTATTATTATTATTACTATTATTATTATTATTATTATTATTATTATTATTATTTATTTCATTGCACTTGTTGCTGGATTCATAAATTGATGACCATCAGAAACCTGAGTAGGATTTATTCTCAGTGACTTGAGTCCTGGGGTGGGGTGTGTGTTCAAACTGGTTGTTTCTGCTGTAGCATCTCTGTTGCTTTCTTCTCCAATCCTTCCGACTGAGAATCTTCTCCACTACCCCACCCCGTCCCTGCTTTCAGCGCAACGAATAAATCCGAAAGCCAATGGAAAGCAGTGTCCTTCCTGCTACTCTTGGTCTGGCACATGCAATGCAGATATGGTGAACTGTACTGGACCGGAGAGGTTCTGCTTTGATGTGCTCTCACGCTCAAAAGCCGGTAAGATGCAGTGCTCCTTTTCAGTCCCAAACCCCCATGCATTTTGTAGCTGCACTGGTTTGGGATTGATGCGGCGCATGGAAGAAATGGGTGTTGCTGCCTTTCAGAAAATATAAGGGGATGCTTCTACCAGAAAAGGGAGGTGATCACCCCACAGTTGGGAAAAGGATCATGGCTCAGTGCATGAACATTTACTTTGGATGGCAAAGATCCCGTGTGAAATCCAAAGAACCACAGGCTAGTTTGGAGGGGCTGTTACCGGCAACTACAATTCCTTTCTAATCTGTGGGATATGATCCATGAGAGGCAGCCAAGTACAACATTCCTTGTAATGCTAGAGAAGACATGCGAGGGAATGTTTGGTCCAGCCAGTTGAAACTTCCTGTTCCTCCTGGCTGGAGCATCCTTCCTTTTGCATGTGACTAGAGGTGGGCGTGACCTAACCTGTCTAGGTAAGAAAAGGACGAGAAAAGCACACCTCCCTCTTTTTTACTTCCTTCTTCATTTGACCAGCTTCTAGCTAGGACCGCTCTGCTAGCTTTCAGCTAGCAGAAGCACTGGGATTATTCCCCCATATGGAGTAGATCCACATGTACATATTTGTAACTTAGTCTGCCTTCAGGAATCCAACTGTGATCTGATGTGAGTAAACGTCTTTTATTGCCTTTGAATAAGACTGTCGCATCTTTATTCTTTTAAGAGGCATTCAAGGGAACTTACCAGGAACGTACAATTCAGTCTGAGACAGATTGTATTGTATAATAGTGAGAGGCTCACACAAGCCTGCAACCAGCTATCTGCTGTGCATATAAAAAGGGGGAATGTAACTCTGCTACATAAAGGAACTTGCTAACGCAAGTTAGGAAAGATATGAATAAACAATATATCCTCTCCTGCCACCCTGAACATTCCCACATAATCAGCCCATCTCATCTTCCATTTCCAGGTGGAGAATTCAGAGACATAATTATGAAGGGCTGCACTATCAAGTCTACCTGTGCTGCAATGAACAAAGGCATACCTCCCATTTTGGAAGAAAAAGATACTATCGTCGTAAATGCCAGGTGTACCCCAGATCCTTCTAGGGGATCTCGATCCTCTGGGCTCTACCTGCCAATCTTCTCTGGGCTCCTGTTCCTGCAGATCCCATGGTAAAAGGCACCTGTGAGAAACTTGCATCATCTCTGCATTCATTCCCTGCTCTGTTTAACACTTTTTCTTAATGAAGCTTAGCCTTCCAGGTAGAGGGCCTCTCCTCGCATCTCTTTTCCCTGCCGCTTCCTCCCAGGGAAACCCAATATTCAGCAATGAATCAGAAGAAATTGAGTTTTCCTGTGGATTGCTGTTTGTTCCGATTTAGCACCGAAGAGTTGGTTTTCCAGAGGAAAGCGGCAGTGCAAAGGTGAAATCGCTCAGACCCATGCCTAGAAAGTGCGGGGCAAGCAGAAAACCACTACATCCCATGTGTTCCAGGCAAGTGTGGATGAGCCCAGTTTCCTTGTTTTCCTCAGTGAAAATAGCAACCAGGAATAAAGCAAATAAAACATGAATGCATGCTTTATTTTTGTTTTTGTTTTTTAACTGACTCTAAATTAGCATCTCTGCATTCATTTATGCTTCTCTTTTGTTCATTCACCACTTTCTCTGAATGCAGTTTGGCTCTCTCGATGGTTAAACACAGTATTTTTTGGATACACACCCACCCACCCACACCAATTTATATATATAAATTGAGTTGCTAGTATTCATATATTGATAAAAATGCCAGCATACTGTGAGTACTATCAGAAATAAATCCAAATGAAGTGTGTGTGTGTGTGTGTGTGTGTGTGTATGTATGTATGTATGTATTTATTTATTTATTTATATGACCCCCTCACATGTTATAAAACAGCTGCACTGGTTACCGGTTTATTTCTGGACCGCTCTCACATTAGTGTTTAAAACTTTTTTTTTCCCATTTCTTTTTATTGAATTTCACTTAGATAACCAAAAGAGAAAACAAATCAACAATTTCAAAAGAAATATCCAAACATAACATAAAAATAACATCAGTTTCCATTACCGTTCTTTGTCTTCACACTTAAATCTTTAGTGTTTAAAACTTTAAACAAATCCACAACTCCACAATTCTGAAGGGCCGTCACTTTCTCTACCAACCCTCTCTGGTGCTAAGATCGACAGAGAATACCCTCTTGGTTGTTCCACTGCCCTCACAGGCTCAGGAGTTGTGGCCAGGGAGAAGGGCCTCTCCACAGAGGTGTGCCCAGCGCCTTCCTTATACAGCTTTGGGTGAATGCTGAAGATGAACCTCTTTACCTTGGCTTAGACCCACTCACCCACCCACACCTATTTTTAATATTATGCCTATTATGTTTTAATATTAATGTTCTGTTTTAATTGCTTTTATCTGCCCAGCGACCCTAGTGTGACGGGCGGATAATAAAAGTATATTAATAATAACTATGACAATAATAATATCTTAGGAAGACATCCTCTATTAGCTAAAATTGTCTGTAAATCATATCCCCAATCCTGATGACTTATTTCAGGTCCTTTGCATTCACTTATTTACACTGTTGAATTTATCTTAATGTGGCCAACGTTTTCAAATGTACACACTTTTCACCCATATATTCATTAAACATTTTCACTCTTCTTTAAATGTATATTCTTCTTGTTCTCTTATTCTGTAAGTTAAATCTGCCAGCTGCATGTATTCCATTAGTTTAAGTTGCCATTCTTATTTAGCTGGGACCTCACTCGCATTCCATTTTGGGGCTAACAAAACACGGTGCAGTAGTGGCGTACATAAATAGCCTTTTTTGACACCTGGGAATTTCTACCTGAATTTTTCCCCCCTCCCCCCCAAAAAGGACTCTCTTTTATTTTAAGTACTTTTAAACATTTTTTTTTCAATTCATTATAAATTATTTCCCAATACTCTTTTACTCTTTTAGAAGTTCACCACATATGACAGAACGTACCCTCAGCCTCATTGAACCCCTTGATTCCATTCCGAGGGAGACACTCTCCTGCCCCCAAATGTTGTGTTGACTTAGGTACTGTTGCTTTAAGGGAAACAGAATCTTAGCGGCTTAGACGACAGTTAGTGGAGGTAGACTGAACATCGGCTTCAAGGTGGGGGGCATTGTGTTCAGCAGGATTCAGCTATGATCAATCCATCCCTCCAGCTGTTCGGTTACTCCTGCTGATGGCGTGTACCTGAAAGCAACATCCACTCATCAACAGGTTATGTACCTAGAAGTTGACCAGGTTGGCCCCTCCCAAGAATTCAGGCCCCAGGGGTGTGTGTGCAAAAATCACACCTCTCCACTCTGGCTCAGAGTGGCTAGTTGCCTGCCTGCCTGTGTACTCTCTGGGCCATTCTGTGCTGCTCTGGACAGCCAGGCAAGCTCCTCTGGTTCCTTGGTGGAGGAATCTTCACCCCAGCTACCCAATCCACCAGGGGGCGCAACACTTGCCCTGCCCCAGGTGCCAGCAACCTATGATATTCTGCTAAGGTGTTGGCCGACTCCCCGCCCCCCTTGCTGTCCTTACAGGCACTTTGAGCCAGAGTATTTGATTCACCTTGGTGACAGCTTCTCCAGATTTCCCATCACCATGCAGGATCTCCTGGAATTTTTCTTTTTCGCCCTCCTTACAACAGGTAAGGAAGGACAGCTCACTCACTGCAAATTTATTCCACTGGGGTAGCTGGGGTCAGATGCAAGCTAGTTTCACGAGACTGGTAGGGGCATAAGATGGAAAGGCACCCGCAAGGTCTTTTGTAATTCCTTTAAATTTGAATTTTAAAAAGAAATCGCGTGGAAAGCAATTGTTGCACGCGATTTTTAAACTAAAGAAACCAAGGAACATGGTTTTGTTCAAAAGAGAGATGCAAATTGCACATTTTTCAACAGCTTCAATCTAATAGGCCACATTTTCGCTTGCTTGTACATAGCATGTTAAAATAAAATAAAAATGTCCAGTAGCACCTTCGAGACCAACTAAGTTTGTTCTGGGTATAAGCTTTCATGTGCATGTGCACTTTTGCAGATATCATGCATGCACACGAAAACTTATACCCAGAACAAACTTACCGTAGTTGGTCTCTAAGGTGCTACCAGACAATTTTTTATTTATTTCCACTGCGTCAGACCAACACGGAAACCTACCTGAATATAGCATGTTAATTTATACATTATTGCTGTGCACTGTCTTCTGAAAAATGTGTGCATTTCCCTTCCTGCAAAGGTGCACCTTCATTGTACAATTTTTTCATATGCTGTAGCACACCCTCTGAGTGTCCCTATTTTCTAGGGACAGTCCCTGATTTAGAGAAGCCGTCCTGGTTTCTGATTTGATCCCAGAATGTCCCGCTTTTCCTTAGGATGTCCCTATTTTCATTGGAGAAATGTTGGAGGGTATGGAGTTATTCAACGCGCAAGCCGTCTGAAGGCATTCACATAGAGGGAAGGTTTTTTAAAAAATGTTTAATGTTTGATTATGTTTTTATATGTGTTGGAAGCTGCCCAGAGTGATGGGGCAACCCAATAAGGTGTGGGATATAAATAGTAAAAATAGCATTATGGAATGGGACATCCCTATTTTCATCGGAGAAATGTTGGAGGGTATGCTGTAGACTCACCACTTTAACTTGTTATTTTGGTTGTAAATTGAGGGATATTTATGGGGGAAGAAAAGGTTAAAGGAGTAAACCCTACAACAAACTCCAAGTGGAGTTCCTAAGACAGTTGGAAGGCGTTTTGTACGCCTCCTTCTGGCAACTCCTACAACAAAGCTGGTGCCAGGTGTATTCTCTGATTTCCTTTGGACCATATCAGTGAGGCTGAGAGGGGGATCTTGTTTATTGCCTGGGCAGCCCAGGACCTCCATACACGCTGCCCAGGCTTGTGGCAGGGAGAGGTCACTTCAGTGCTGCTAATCCAGCAAAAACAACGCAAGAGGCAGCAGTTATGAGTTGCCAGTCTCTGCAGCCCCAGCAGGTGCTGTGATTTTCCACTGGTTTGACTTTGCCCCTGAAGGTACACTCCATTGCCTCTCAAGACAGGTAGATGCCCAACAACAACAAGAAACGATTTTCACTGATTTTCATATTGTGTTTTCATTTTTTTAAAAAATGTATTTTATCTACAACATGGATCAGAGAATACAATTTGCACAATGATAAATTGCAGTATAATGAACACAGTTCCTTAAGATGAATAGTCAAGGAGTTTCAGAAAATGGGAACAAAATTATTATTATTATTTGGTTTACTTCCTTCCCTTCACACCTAGGTTACAGGGCAGGTTACAGCGATTTAAAACACAACATGAATCGTAGTATCATAGAATTGTAGAGTTGGGTCATCCAGTTTAACCCCCTGCGATGCAGAGATCTCAACCAAAGCACCCATGACAGATGACCAGCCAACCTCTGCTTAAAAACCTCCAATGAAGGAGGTTTGAAATAAAGTACAATCAACTGAGCAAGGGACGCGGGTGGCGCTGTGGGTTAAACCACAGAGCCTAGGACTTGCTGATCAGAAGGTTGGTGGTTCGAATCCCTGCAACGGGGTGAGCTCCCGTTGCTTGGTCCCTGCTCCTGCCAACCTAGCAGTTCAAAAGCACGTGAAAGTGCAAGTAGATAAATAGGTACCGCTCCGGAGGGAAGGTAAACGACGTTTCCGTGCACTGCTCTGGTTTGCCAGAAGCTGCTTAGTCATGCTGACCACATGACCCAGAAGCTGTATGCCAGCTCCCTTGGCCAATAAAGCGAGATGAGCGCCGCAACCCCACAGTCGGTCACAACTGGACCTAATGGTCAGGGGTCCCTTTACCGCTTTACCTTTTACAATCAACTGAATAGGGTGAGTCCTTAAAAAATGGCCTCCCAGCCTCCTCCTTTTCCTTCTTCCAGTTGCTTCTTTAGAGTGTGAGATTTGTTTGAGCAATGGCACCCACTGTACAGGACCTAAGAAGACCTGCCCTCTGGAGAAAAATGCCTGCATGATCGCATACACTGAAAATACTGTAGGTGAGTGGGAGAGAGATTATTGAAGCAGAAGTGGAGTCAGATTATTGGTACATTTTGCTCAGTACTGTCTATGCTGGCTGGTCCCATGACCTCAGACAGAGAATCCCTCTCCCAGTCTTACCTGGAGATGGCAGGGGCTGGGATGTTCTGCATCCACAGCAGGTGTTCTAACACTAAGCTATGGCCTTTACCGTGATGGCAGAGGGCAAAGGACAGGATCAGTCAAAGTCACTTACTACTAGTATTGTATGGGCCCTCTGCCTTGTTAATTATCTCTAGCAAACCACCCCAGGGAACAAACTAATTGACCCATGCCTTCAGTCTGACACAGACTAAGGTGATTTAAGGGCCAATTAAGTGTAGCTGCTCTGCTTTAATAGTGGGTTTCAGTGGGTTTGATGCTACCCCGCTGGGTGCCACAAGAACCCATTGCTACCAGATTCCAGGCAGCAAATGGAGTAGGTGGCTGTGGCAATCACACAGGGTCCCCGGACGTTTGACGGTCTATTGATCCCTGTGCCACCACTATGATCACTTTCCTGCTGCCACCAACCTGTTTCTCTCGGGTACACACTGAGTCCAGACAGTTGTTAACATCAAAACAAATAATCAAGTTTATTTTATAAGCGTGAACAAGTTTATGGTTTCAGATAATTTTTCTTGTCAGTTTCTTATCCTTAGTTCCTATACCGGCCTATACCTTCCTAATAACTTTTAACTGATTACAGTGGTGCCCCGCAAGACGAATGCCTTGCAAGACGAAAAACTCGCTAGACGAAAGAGTTTTCCGTTTTTTGAGTTGTTCCGCAAGACGAATTTCCTTATGGGCTTGCTTCGCAAGACGAAACATCTTGCGAGTTCTTGCGAGTTTGTTTCCTTTTTATTAAAGCCGCTAAGCCGCTAATAGCCGTGCTTCGCAAGACGAAAAAAACGCAAGACGAAGAGACTCGCGGAACGGATTAATTTCATCTTGCGAGGCACCACTGTATTCCAACTGTCTATCAGACTCCTCCTAACAGTTTCTCTCATTCTCACACATCAAAACTAGACCAACCCACAGACTTATCCTCCCTCTTCCTTCTCCAACTCCCAACTGACTTCCAAACAACTCCAACTGTAACTCTAACTCCTCCCCTTGGGTTCCCACTGGCCAATCACTTCACACTCATTTAACCCTTTCCTTATGACCCACCTAGGAGGGCAAACGCCACAGTGGCGTCTTAGAAAATGAGGAATAGAAGGTGCCTTACAGCACCCAGATTGGATTGGACATTGGTTCGAGAAGGATTAGGCTTCAGCACCAAGATACACAATAAATAGCCACTTCCTCAAATCCAGTCACATCCTGAAGTGACTAACAGACAAGATTGAATACAACATAGGACTACGCTGGAGGAATAGACAATACTAGCCACAGATTTTTCAGAAGGATCAATAATGTCACATGCTTTTCTTAGCTTTGCCAAACCCTGTCTACAGCCTTGCAAGCAGCCATGAACAATGTGATGTCTTCTGGAGGCTGTACAGGTCTTTGCAATATGACTTTCTTTTTAAATCAACCAGTATTGATATTTTTGATGATGTTTTTATGGATGCTTTTGCCGATTTGCTTTTAACGTCTATCGTTTATCACCTTTGTATATTATAATGAAAGTGTGGATTACAAACAAACAAACAAACCAATATTTTGGACAACAGCTCCCATCAGCACCAGCCGCAATAGCCAATGGGCAGGGATGATGGGGAACTGTGGTCCACAATATCTCAAGGTGACCGTGCTGGGGTCTGCCCCTGTTTTAAGGAATGAACTAACTCTGGGAATCATTTGTAGGAGTTGTTAAACCATTTCTGCTTCTCTACCCACACCCTGCCTCAGATTTAGAAATCTTAAGAACTAAAGAAAAAAAATACTGAAAAATCAATGATGTGTTTTGTTGTGAATTGGCCAGAACAATTCTCACTCCTTTGGGAAAATATAACACAACATGCTACATTTGGAAGACACTATATCCGTCTCTGATGCAGAAATGTGGAGAACTGAATAAGATTCGGAAAAGAGAGAAAATCCAAAACCGACATATTCACCCATTCCTAATCTTTACATCATCCTTCCAAACACAACCCTGCTCATCATCTTGATGACTGAATAAAATGGAAGCCTGTCTGGCATGCTGGTTTAAGGTGTTGGATTACGGCTGGGGAGACCAATGAAGCTGATTGGATGACCTTGGCCCAATCTCACAGACTAACCAGTCCTGAGGATGGAATGGGGTGAACCATGTCAGCTGACATGCATTCCTAGGAGGAAAGGTGGGAAGCAAAGGTGGTAAAATGAAATTAACCATCTCCCTCCCCCCCCATCTTCCATTGCAGATGGAAAAAAGGAACATACTATAGACAAAGACTGTGCAACTGCTAACATCTGTACCAGTTCCGCCATTGAATTGTACTTTGGACCTGGAAGATTCATGAGGACAGTTGTGTACTGTTGCATCGAAAATTTGTGCAAAAAATTTGAATCCAAATGTGGGTATATAATGGGGTTGGGGGCTAGCTCCTCTCCCCAATCTTCTTCCCCTCGCCATGTCCTTCCTTCCACCTGTTCCCTGAAGCCAGGTGTGCACATGTGACATGCCCTTGAGTCTCTGATTTCTGTAAATGTGGAAGTGGCCTTTAACCTTCAAAGCTACTAGCTGCTTTCCCTATGAATATATCTTGCCCTTTTCACAACCACCTTGAAGGTAGATATAATTAGCTGTGCTTTGGCCTAGTAGTGGCTGGTGCTACTTGGGACCTGCAGGGAGTGCAAAGCAGAGAGTTATGGTCCTGTTCCTTCTCACTCCTTCTCAGCGGCAATGCTGAGAATAAGGAGGAGGAAGCTGCCACAGCCAGTTCCCCCTACTGGGTGTAAGCAGGAAGGTTGGGAAATGGAAGATGGCTGAAGGCTGAAAGAGTTTGGTCAGGCAGCATATCCTCCTTCTACAACCGGGGCTGGGCTGTCCATGAGGAAACGTGAAGTGACCGCCTTGGTCAGTGGGATCCACAGGGGCACCAAAACCCAATGTAGATCTTACTTTCCCCCTTGTTCCCGATCTAGATATTCCCTGGTGGAGATGGGTGCGCCATTTTGTGGCTCCCTGTAAGGTGCCAAAACGTCTTGGGCCGGTCCTGTCCACAGCTGTAAACAACCGAGCTGCCTCCTCCAAACCCTTAAGCGTTTCCACACCTTGTTTTCAGTTCCACCGATTGAAACCAGAATGAACGGAAAGCAGTGCCCTGCCTGCCACGTGTGGTCGGACACGTGCAAAGAAGAGATGGTGAACTGCACAGGACACAACGTGTACTGCTTTGACGTGTCTTCGCATTCACATGCCCGTAAGCGTTGGCCCAGACATTGCATCCCTTGAAGTCCACATCCTCCCCACCAATTTTCTAGGTTATGTATCATCATCATCTTCTTCTTTGGTGATCCCTCGTAGCCGAGTGAGATTGTCTTCCATAAACATGGTTTTAACAATGAGTCCGTAAGTGACTGTGGAGGCCAATTCTGGATCCACACGTCCTTCCACAGTGGGGGCATTGGTTTCCAGACAGGAGTTGATCAAGGTGTGGATTTGCCAAGCGTGCCTTCCTCCTAGCACGTTTCTCCCTTGCGTCCTGAGTTCAAGTGTCTTCAAAGCCTATAACACCTTTGGTAAAGGCTGTTCTCCAATTGGAGCGCTCGCAGGCCAGTGTTTCCCAGTTGTCAGTGTTTATACTACATTTTTTAAGATTTGCCTTGAGACAGTCTTTAAACCTCTTTTGTTGACCACCAGCATTACACTTTCCATTTTTAAAGTTCAGAATAGAGTAGTTGCTTTGGAAGACAATATCATCAGATATAATCATCACATATAATCTGAGCCATGCTGAGTTCAGAGGAACAAGCAGACTGCTGCTATTCCCTTCCATAAGATGCGTTTTTAAAAAAATAAAAAACCCTACCTCTTATCTTCTGAGTTAAATCACACAGGCGGCTTCTTTCAGCTGTTTCTCATGTAAATGCTTTGGTTGCATATAGTTAGAAAGCTGCCTGCCAAAATTTGCATCATGCTAATTTTTGCTTTGCTGTTCTCCAACCCGGGAATGTCTATGAAAATGCATTTATTGGGTGTAAACTATGGAAGAAGAAATATGCATATTAGTAAAAATCACATACAAAATGCATTCTATTAGGTAAATTTTCAAAATATAGAAAGGTGTATATTTGGCAAAATTTGCCTATAACCCAGTGTATATTGGAGGAAAGACTGAAATGGTCATGAGTTTTCATGGGGAATATTTCATGGGGAAAATAGCAATCTGATGTGCAAATGTGGAGAACTGAATTTAAGACTGGAAAAATGAGAAACTGAGATGGACTGATTTGCTCATCCTTACACTGGACCATCATTGAGCTCCACTATCCAGGAAAAACGTGCGATTTGGAGAATAGCTAAAAGGCGTTATGATTCCCATAATCCCCTCTCTTCTCTTCCATTTCCAGAAACAAACAGTGTGGACAGAACCATGAAAGGCTGTACTACTAAGTCTGTCTGTTCCTCAATAAGAAGTGGCCGCAGTCCCATTTTGGGAAATTCTGATCTGATTAGGAGGGCGACATGCATTCCAGAGGTTTCTCGGGGATCTCGGTGCTCTGGCTTTCTCCTACCAACCTTCTCTGGGCTCCTCCTGCTCTTGAAGATCCTCGTGTAAAGGGAGGGTTGCATGAGCTCTGCCTTCAATCAAGCCTTCCACCTATCTATAGGCGACTTTTTCATACTTCGGTTGGGCCTCCCAGATGGATTTTCTCTGATTCACTGAGTGAAAATAAACCTCAGGTTGAAATCAATTGCAATTGGAATTGGGGGTTTTCTTCTCTTGTGTTTTGTGTAAGGAAACATTTTTTTCTTACAAAATGTTTAAGGGTGCTCTCATTTTGACTCAAGAAAAACACCATTTTATAAGCCGCCATCGGGGGTAGCAACCGAACTGACAATTCACCATGCTAGAGAAAAAAACTTAATTTTTTTAGTTTCTTCTCCTGTTAGATTCACAAAATGTTTAGGGGTATGTGTATCCCTGCTTCCCCCCAGGAAAAAAAAGCGCTGAATTATACATTACTGCCATGTTGGCTCATTTAGTGTTTTCAGTCGATATCTAACTCTACTTCCTCAGATGTTTTTAAGCAGTGGTTAGATGGCCATCTGTCATGGATGCTTTTGCTGAGATTCCTGCATTGCAGGGGGTTGGACTAGATGACCCTTAGGGTCCCTCCCAACTCTACAATCCTATGATTCGAACTGCCACAGTGGCTCCTTTAAAGTTTTCAATCAATATACCCTGTCCATAAGCATTCTTCCAATGTTGATGGCATTAAAACATTTTTTTATTATTAATAAAAGGAAAAGGAGACAAAATAGTGCCAAATGTATCTTTTTTGGAAATGCCTTTGACTACTCAACGTGTGAGGTGTTCTGACAGAGCTATGTTCCAGATCAACCTAAGCCTCAATTAGTCTATTAGAAACTTCCTTCCATTGCTGGGCAATAGCTTGGCTGCTGTGAACAAGGAGGAAATAAATTCTTTAGATGTGAGAGTAGAATTTGGAATCACCTCTGGCTTCTATGGAATCTTAGGGGGGTTTCCTAATAAAAGTCATCTTAGGAGGCATGGAATCTTAAAGGCTTATACATCTGCTGTTGGGAGGTAAGCTGAACTCTGGTTTAAATCCAGTTATTTTCTTTTCACAAGAACCGAAGGACCTGAGAAGAGCCTTAATGAATATCTAGTTTGGCACACTCTTTTCCACTGTGGCTATTCTGTGTGCTCCTGGAAACTCAAAAGTTTCCCGATAGACTCAGCCCAAAAGCAGGGCACAAGCACTTTATCCTTTTCCCATCCCCAGATGACTACTATTCAAAGGTGTGCTGCCCTGATACTGGAGGAAACGTGTGACCATAATAGCTAGTGGCCGCTGATAGCTTTAAAGGTAAAGGTAAAGGGACCCCTGACCATTAGGTCCAGTCGTGACCGACTCTGGGGTTGCGGCGTTCATCTCGCTTTATTGGCCGAGGCAGCCAGCGTACAGCTTCCGGGTCATGTGGTCAGCATGACTAATCCGCTTCTGGTGAACCAGAGCAGCGCACGGAAACGCCGTTTACCTTCCCACCAGAGCGGTACCTGTTTAGCTACTTGCACTTTGACGTGCTTTCAAACTGCTAGGTTGGCAGGAGCAGGGACCGAGCAACGGGAGCTCACCCCGTCGTGGGGATTCGAACTGCCGACCTCCTGATCAGCAAGTCCTAGGCTCTGTGATTTAACCCACAGCGCCACCTGTGTCCCTTACTGATAGCTTTACCCTCCCTGAATTTGTTTATTTTTTTAAAAAAAATGATTTTTATTAAGGTTTCAGTAAAAAGTTAAACAGAAAAACATAAAAAAGAAATACACAAATACACAGTACATAATCCAAAAAAAGAAGAAAAACACAGAGAACAGAAAACAAAGAAAGAAACAGAACAATTAAAAACAATATCACCTTTTCATTTCCGTTTTTAAATTTACTTATTTTCTGGACTTCCTCATACCTCCCTCTTTTGTATTCCAGTCCAAATTGTTTGTCCAGCAATTTCTTTTCCACTTTTTAATCCCAATCTTTAATCTTAATGTAATATAGCATTAAAATTTTACCTCTTAAGTACCAAATTTCCATTTCCTTAAACTTCTTTAATCCTAATCTTTAATCTTAGTCTATCTATAACTTTATCCTGTATAGCTGGAAACCACTTATTTTCAATCCAACATCACTCTAACATTCTTTAATTTTGCAGTGTTTCTGTAGATAATCTTTGAATTTCTTCCAATCTTCCTCCACCGACTCTTCTCCCTGGTCACGGATTCTGCCAGTCATTTCCGCCAGTTCCATATAGTCCATCAGTTTCATCTGCCATTCCTCCAGCGTGGGAAGTTCTTGTGTCTTCCAATATTTTGCGATGAGTATTCTTGCTGCTGTTGTTGCATACATAAAGAAAGTTCTATTCTTTTTTAACACCATTTGGCCGACTATGCCCAGGAGAAAGGCCTCTGGTTTCTTAGGAAAGGTATATTTGAATACCTTTTTTAATTCATTATATATCATTTCCCAGAAAGCCTTAATCTTTGGGCACGTCCACCAAAGGTGAAAAATGTACCTTCAGTTTCTTTACATTTCCAACATTTATTATCGGGCAAATGATAGATTTTTGCAAGCTTGACTGGGGTTATGTACCACCTGTATATCATTTTCATAATATTCTCTCTTAAGGCATTACATGCCGTAAATTTCATACCTGTGGTCCACAACTGTTCCCAGTCAGCAAACATAATGTTATGTCCAACGTCTTGTGCCCATTTAATCATAGCCGATTTTACCGTTTCATCCTGAGTGTTCCATTTCAGCAGCAAATTATACATTCTTGACAAATTCTTAGTTTTGGGTTCTAACAGTTCAGTTTCTAATTTTGATCTTTCCACCTGGAAGCCAATTTTCTTGTCCAATTTAAATGCCTCCATTATCGGTGAATAATGAAGCCAGTCTCGCACGTTATTTTTTAGGTTCTCAAAACTCTGCAGGTGCAGTCTATCTCCAGCTTGTTCCAACAGTTCCCAATATTTCGGCCATTTGACCTCCATATTGACCTTTTCAAGGCTTTTGCTTCCATTGGTGACAGCCACCTTGGGGTTTTATTTTCTAACAAATCCTTATATCTTATCCAAACATTAAACAGCGCTTTCCTGACAATGTGGTTTTTAAATGCTTTATGTGCTTTGACCTTATCATACCATAGATATGCATGCCATCCAAATACATTGTTAAAACCTTCTAAGTCCAAAATGTCAGTGTTTTCAAGAAGTAGCCATTCTTTCAGCCAGCAAAAAGCTGCTGATTCATAGTAAAGTTTGAGGTCTGGCAGGGCAAATCCACCTCTTTCCTTTGCATCCGTTAGTATTTTAAAGTTTATTCTGGGCTTCTTGCCCTGCCAGACAAATCTAGAAATATCTTTCTGCCACCTCTTGAAACAATCCATTCTGTCCACAATTTGCAAAGTTTGAAACAAAAACAACATTCTAGGCAATACATTCATTTTTATCGCAGCAATACGGCCCAGCAGTGAAAGCTTCAAATTTACCCTCCCTGAATTTGGTTAACCCCTGTTCAAATCCATCTAAATCGATGGTTATACCCACATCTTTTGGCAGCAGATGCCATAGTCTGATGACACACTGTTTGAAAAAGGACTTCTACTCTTGTCTTTTCCCGAATCTTTTCTTCCTCCAGGTACTAAAGGTTAGGTGTGAGAGGAAGAAAAACCTCTCTCAGGATGCAAACATTTCTCAGTTTTCTTTCTTCTTCTTTTGTACTGCTTAGTTATTCCTGGGGATGACACGTACTTATAATCAGTGGCGATGGTTGTAGCTCAACGTTAGAGCTAGAGGTGGGAAGGCCTGGGAAAAAACCTGGAAAAATTGGGGGGGGGAACGGGTTTCCCCGTGTTTTTCCCCAGAAAAATTGAAAGATATAGTTTGAATATTCCACACACTCCCCCCCTTTTTTCCTGGGGAGAAAAACGGCTTTGGGGAAAAAACACAGAATAAAACCTATCCGCCCCCCCCATCCGTCCCCCCCGGCCTTCCAGCACCCACACTTTGAAGCTCCCTGCCAACTGATGCAAGGCAGGTGCTCTCACTGTAATCTTTCCAGCAACTGCTCAAAACATTTTCGTTAGGGCCAGCCCATCTGAACACATAGAAGCTGCATGCGATTTACTTCCTTTTAACCACTGCTGACTTTAATCATCTTTTGAATACTCTTAAATACTTGCTTTTAACTGTGTGCTATCAATCATTTAATGTTCTGTTGTATATTTTTGTAAAGTGTTTAGAAGCTCTCTTAGCATCATGCGGTTTATAATATATAATAACAAATTCAATTTAAAAAACACTTTCAAACAGAGTTTGAGCCTTAGTGCAACATACTACAGTACAGTGGTACCTCGGGTTAAGTACTTAATTCGTTTCAGAGATCCGTTCTTAAGCTGAAACTGTTCTTAACCTGAAGCACCACTTTAGCTAATGGGGCCTCCTACTGCTGCCATGCCGCAGGAACACAATTTCTGTTCTCATCCTGAAGCAAAGTTCTTAACCCGAGGTACTATTTCTGGGTTAACGGAGTCTGTAACCTGAAGCGTATGTGACCTGAAGCATATGTAACCCGAGGTACCACTGTAGTACCACCGTTCAGCCTGGACACTGAGGTCCAGCTCCGAGGGCCTTCTGGTGGTTCCCTCCCTGCGAGAAGTGAGGTTACAGGGAACCAGGCAGAGGGCCTTCTTGGTAGTGGTGCCCGCCCTGTGGAACGGCCTCCCATCAGATGTCAAGGAAATAAACAACTATCTGACTTTTAGAAGACATCTGAAGGCAGCCCTGTTTAGGGAAGTTTTGAATGTTTGATGTTTTATTGTGTTTTTAATATTCTGTTGGGAGCCACCCAGAGGAACCTCTTCAAGATCCTCTGGGCATTTTACCCAGGTCAGCTGACTGGGCTCCCCCGCCCCTGTTGTTTCAGGTCCTTTTCAGCCAGGGTATTCAATTCACCTCGGACACAGTTTCTCTGGCTCTCCCCTCACCATCACCATGCAGGATCTCCTGAAACTCTCTATCTTCTTTGTCCTCCTTACAACAGGTATGGAAGGACGGCTCACTCGCGGGAGATTTATTCCATTGGGGTAGCTGGGGTCAGATGCAAATTGGCATCACGAGACTGGCAAGAGTATAAGACGGAAGGCATATCCAAGATCTTTTTAATCTTTAATTATTATTTTTTAAAATTTGATTTATTTTTAAAAGAAACAGCTTTGGAAGCAATTTAGAATATGGCATTAATAACCATTTTCAATAAAGCGTAATCACACAAATAGGGTTAGTCATTTTTTTTAAAAAAGGCCTTCCACCTTCCTCTTTCTCCAGGAGCTTCTCTAACATGTGAAGTTTGTTCGGCTGAAGGATATATCTGCAATGGCACGTGGACGCCCTGCCCTCCCGAGAAAGATACCTGCATGATTGCATACTCCGAAAATACTCTACGTGAGTGGAATTGAGGTTATTGAAACATAGGTAGAGTCAGAACGTTGGTCCACATGGCTCAGTATGGTCTATGCGGACCTGTCCAGGATCTCAGACAGGGAATCTCCAAGTCCTACCTGGTGATGCTGGGGAGGGAACTTGGGATCTTCTGCATCCACAGCAGGTGGTCTACCACTGAGCTATGACCTCAGGACAAGTGGGCACAGGACAAGATCAGCCAAGGTCACTGACTGTTAGGGCAGGGATTGCGTGTTGGACGGGTCCTCGTCTCATGTTATCTTCAGTAATCACCTCAGTGAACAAGCTGATTGAGTCATGCCTTAAATCTTGGCATCTACTGTTCTAACGGCCCATTAGTTTTCAGGTCCAATTCAAAGCACTGGTTTGGACCTATCAAGCCTTAAACAGCTCAGGACTGCAATACCTCAAGGACCACCTCTTTCCATACATACTGATGCAGACACTGTGGTCATCATCTGAGGCCCTTCTTCATGAGCCTCCTTTGCGAGAGGTCTGGAGGGCAGCAACATGGGAACAGGCCTTTTCTGTGGTGGCTCCCCATTTGCGGAAGTCCGCTCACTCTTCTTGTTTAAATGTTTCTTTGGTTGTCCTTGAATCTTCACGACATGCTTGCTACACTGGTTTAGAGTGTTGGAAGGGACACGGATGGCGCTGTGGTCTAAACCACTGAGCCTCTTGGACTTGCTGATTGGAATTTCAGTGGTTCGAATCACTGTGACAGGGTGAGCTCCCTTTGCTTTGTCCCAGCTCCTGCCAACCTAGCAGTTCGAAAGCATGCCAGTGCAAGTAGATAAACAGGTACCACTGAGGTGGGAAGGTAAACGGCATTTCCGTGTGCTCTGGTTTCCGTCACGGTGTCCTGCTGCACCAGAAGCAGCTTAGTCATGCTGGCCACATGACCTGGAAAGCTGTCTGTGGACAAACGCTGGCTCCCTCGGCCTGAAAACGAGATGAGCGCCACAACCCCATAGTCGCCTTTGACTGGACTTAACCATCCAGGGGTCCTTTACCTTTTTACCTAGTGTGTTAGACTAAGGCTGGGGAGACCAAAGAAGCTTATTGGGTGATCTTGGCCCGATCTCTCAGTCTAACCATGGAGTCTGACTTGAGTTCTTTGGAGGAACAGGTGGGATATTAATGTAGGAAATGCAGTGAAATCAAATTGACCCACTCCCTCTCATTGTAGGTGAAAACGTTGAACGCAGTGTAGACAAAGACTGTGCCACTCTGGAGGAGTGTGCCAATACTGCCATGGAATTGTACTTTGGACCTGGGAAAGCCTTAAGGATAGTTGCCTCCTGCTGCAATGAGAAGATGTGTGGCATAGTTAACCCTAATTGTAGGTCTATCATTTGTTGGTGTGTGTGTGTGTGTGTGTGTGTGTGTTTGATCCTCTCCCCATGCTTCCCCCCCCACAATGGCATCTCAGATTCAAACCCTGACATTTCCAGATAGGGAGCAAAATATCTTAGAAATACCAATTTCTTTATATCTAGAGATGAAAGCAAAGCACTGCCTCTCCAAACCACTTGCATTGCAGCCTGAGGCTGTGCTCTTGGAGAGAGCTTAAACATCCTTTCTCTTCGGTGCTTCAGAACCAAGAGCTAATTCGCACGCCCAAAATGGAGACCTGTAACACAATCCTTTCTCGTGTGATCTTAGTTAAACACCTCGTGGCAGAGTTGCGGAAGGGGAGGAGGAGAAAGGCACGGTTCTGGCGTCCTTCCTGTTGGGGGAGGGATTCTGAGTCGGACTGAGCAACTCCTTTGCCGAGAGAGGGTGGGAAGTTTTGCTGTGGAGATGTTTGTGTTTTTTGTAAATAAATGTACATAAAGCTGACGGACAGAGCCGTCTTTAGCATATGCTCCGCCGGGATGCAAAGATTCGCCCAGTATCCCCAAATTTAGTTTAGCCACCCCCAAATTTTAAGGGGGGGGTGAGCTCAAAGTTATTGAGCTTTTTGGGGGAGGGGGTGGAAATAACTGCTTTTGTTTCCTGACTTGTCATATTTGACGCTACGGAGTAAGTAACAGAGCAAAGGGGTGAGGGGGCAGGGACTTTCGCTCCATTGCTTTCCACTGCCGCCAATCGAGAGGGACCGGTATACAGTAGGTATACATTTGGTGCCACTCAGAATTCAGCGCCCGGGTGCCCTGCACCCCTTGGACCTCCTGGGTAAAGACGGCCCTGCTTAAAGGAGACTCATTACTGCTTAGCGGACTGGTTGCATGCCAGGGATCATTAGGCGGAAGTCAGAATGGAGCTGGATGGGCAGCACACCATCTGCCTCCAAAGTTGTAAACTCTGAGCTGCCTCTTTCAGATCCTTGAGTGTTTCTACACCTGTTTTCAGTGCCGCCATTAGAAACGAAATGGAATGGAAAGCAGTGCCTTGCCTGCCACGAATGGTCAAACACATGCAAAGAGGAGGTGGTGAATTGCACGGGAGCCAATATATACTGCTTTGATATATCGGCACACCTGCATTCTGGTAAGTGCAACCCCAGTTGCAGCATGACTTGGGACCCCAAATCCTCCTTTCCACCTATTTTCACATAGGATCATGTGTAAGCCGAGCCAGGCTGATTTAAGGCATGCCACTCTTCACTTCCCTAAGACGTGAGCTTTTATAGAAAACAAAATACCTACCTCTAATTCTCTTATTTAAATTGCTCCCATTGTGTTTGCTTCGTACGTGAATGCTTTGATCTCATTTTGCAACACAAAATTTTGTCCTTCGCAATTGGCACTTTGCTAAATTTCATTGTGCAGTTCTCCAACCAAGGCGTGTGTACAAAAACGCATTCTGTTAGGGTAATTTGCTATTATTATTATTATTATTACAGTACAGTGGTGCCCCGCAAGACGAATGCCTCGCAAGACGGAAAAACCGCTAGACGAAAGGGTTTTCCGTTTTGAAGTTGCTTCACAGGACGAATTCCCCTATGGGCTTGCTTCGCAAGACGAAAATACCTTGCGAGTCTTGAGATTTTTTTTTTCGCTTTCCCCCCCCTTTATCTAATCTGCTAAGCCTTTAATAGCCTTTAATAGCCTTTTAGCAGCTAATCCCCTAAGCCTTTAAGCCTTTAATAGCCGCTAAACCGCTAATAGCGCTAATAGCGCTAATCCGTCAATGGGCTTGCTTCGCAAGACGAAAAAACCGCTAGACGAAGACTCTCGCGGAACGGATTAATTTCGTCTTGCGAGGCACCACTGTATTGGCAAAATTGCATGCAAACGTGTGTGTATTGGGAGAAACATACTAAATTTGTGGTGCGTTTTCATGGGGGATGTTAAAAAAATGCAAAGTGATATGAAAATGTGGAGAACTCGATTTAAGATTGGAGAAAAGAGAAACTGAAATTGACATATTTGCTCATCCCCACAGGGTTGATAGCCATTTTTTTAAAGCTCCATTCCTTAAGTACCAGATTTGTTTAGTGGCAAGGAGGGGGTAAATTTCATCTAGGTGGGATGTACTGGTTTGGAGAATAGCTGGAAGAAATTAATGTCTTCTCCTGTCTTCCATTTCCAGAAAAAATCGTGGACAGGACCCTTAAAGGCTGCACTAGTAAGTCCTTCTGTCTCTCACTCAAAAGTGGCCGCGCTCCTATGTTGGGGGGTTCTGATGAGCTTAGGAAGGCAGAATGTTCACCAGATGTTTCCCGGGGAGTTCAGTGCTCTGATCTCTTCCTGCCAACCTTCTCTGGGCTCCTGCTCCTGAAGATCCTCTCATAAAAAAATCCAGCTGCATGGGATTGCATCAGCTCTGTATTCAATCAAGCCTCCCTTCTATCTATAGGCGACTTTTTCCAACTGTCGTTTGGCCTTCCGGAGGGATTTTCTCTGAATCACAGTGAAAATAAACCTCAGGTTGAAATCCGTTGCAATTTGAATTGTAATTCTTTTTTTTTTAAAAAAAATGTAATTTGTGTCAAGACCCCCATTGTTCAGCCCAGACATTGAGATCCAGCTCCGAGGGCTTTCTGGCGGTTTCCTAACTGCAAGAAATGAAGTGTCAACCATGGCAACATTGAAGTTGTGTAAGGAGCTTGATTGTTACAGCTGTGTCAGTACATCGTCATGGAAGGGGGGTGGGTCTGAGAAGCTCTGGGAGTCTGCTGGCTGAGGCTGATTGAACTTATTGAGCAGAATCACTTTCAGGGTTGGTGTTAGACTCTGGATATTAGACATCGTCTGAATCACCAAGGGCTAAGTCCCAGGTTTTTTTGTGGTAGCAGGGGAGTTATTGACAGACTTTGGTGGTCTGCCCCATGTGGCTATAGCAATAATAATAATTTATTATTTATACCCCACCCGTATGTCTGGGTTTCCCCAGCCACTCTGGGCGGCTTCCAACAAAGTATTAAAATACAGTGGTCTGTTAAACATTAAAAGCTTCCCTAAACAGGGCTGCCTTCAGATGTCCTCTAAAAGTCTGGTAGTTGTTCTTCTCTTTGACATCTGGTGGGAGGGTGTTACACAGGGCGGGTGCCACTACTGAGAAGGCCCTCTGCCTGGTTCCCTGTAACTTGGCTTCTTGCAGTGAGGGAACCCTCAGCGCTGGACCTCAGTGTCCGGGCAGAATAATGGGGGTGGAGACACTCCTTCAGGTATACTGGACCGAGGCCGTTTAGGGCTTTAAAGGTCAGCACCAACACTTTAAATTGTGCTCGGAAACATACTGGGAGCCAATGTAGATCTTTCAAGACTGGTGTGTCTTGAAATATAGGGCTCTATTCTCCCTTGACGGGTCTCAAGTCATCCAAGCTTGGTACTTGAGGGAGCAGCTAGGGCTGACCAATGGCAGAGTGGATTGTCATCTCCCTTTCATAGCCTCCCACAGCTGTCTGGTTGATTCCATGCCAAGGAAGGCACCCGTCTGTTGTGGTGACTTACGGTTCTGTCACTTTAAGAGATGTGGAATCTTAAAGGCCTACGTGTCAGTTACTGGAGGTAGGTTGAACAGGAGTTTAAATGCAGTTCCTTCCTTTTCATAACAACAGAAGGAGCTGAGAAGAACCCTACTGAGTCAGGGGAGAGCAGACTTCCACGAGTGGTGGTGGACTTTCCTTCCTTGGAGGGTTTTGAGCAGAAAACCATGGCCACCTGCCATGGATGATTTAGTTGAGATTTCTGCACCGCAAAGGGGTTGGACTGGATGACCCTCTGGGTCCCTTCCAACTCTACAGTTCTATGATAGACCCAAAGCATACCTAGCCTAGCATCATCTTTTGCACGGTGGCCAACCTGGTGCCTCTGGAAGCCCACCATGGTCAATGGCCAGGGATGATCGGAGCAGTAGCTCAAGAACAAGTGACAGGCTACAGGTCTCCCATCCTTGGTGTAAATGCACACTGGTGAAAGCTGCCAGTTGTCAAACATGCTTCCTCTGGCTGTCATTACAGGCTCTTTGAGCCAAAGAAGTTGATTCGTCACATGTATTTCTCATCATCATTACCATGCAGGATCTCCTGAGGCTCTTCCCCTTCTTTGTGATTCTAACTACAGGTAAGGAGACGCTGGAAGCCTACTGGAGATTTTCTTTTCTTTTCTTTTACAGTGGGGTAAATAGGGCCAGGGCCAAATTGAGGTCGCTCAGGGTTGGCATCAGTAGTTGGCATTGTTGGGCAACTGTGGAGGCTCACGCCTGTTTGGGAACCCAGTGCTGATTCCCAGGGCATCCTGGTTCTGCTCTTTCTCCTTACTGCCCCCCCCCACGGTTCCCCTGCCCTCTCTCAGCATTCCAGCAATGGCCAGAGGAAGGACATGAGGCAGCAGCTGCCACCTGCTTTGTGCTCTCTCTTGCGTGGATTAGGGCCAGAGGGCATGTGAATGGGCAGAGAAAGGAGGAGGTAGGGATGGGGCAGAAACTGGGCTAAGCTTGCATTTAATATAATAATAACAATAATAATTTATACTCCACCCATCTGGCTGGGCTTCCCAAGCCACTCTGTGCGGCTTCCAACAAAATATTAAAATACAGTGGTACCTCAGGTTAAGTACTTAATTCATTCTGGAGGTCCATTCTTAACCTGAAACTGTTCTTAACCTGAAGCACCACTTTAGCTAATGGGGCCTCCTGCTGCTGCTGCGCTGCCAGAGCATGATTTCTGTTCTCATCCTGAAGCAAAGTTCTTAACCCAAGGTACTATTTCTGGGTTAGCGGAGTCTGTAACCTGAAGCGCCTGTAACCTGAAGCGTATGTAATCCGAGGTACCACTGTACGGTAATGCATCAAACGTTAAAAGCTTCCCTAAACAGGGCTGCCTTCAGATGTCATTTATAGCCAGACCTATCTAATTCATAAAGCTCGAGACACCATCACCAATTGAAATTCACCCTTCTCTGAATTTTGCAATGCAATTTCCCCAGCCAAGGAATGTGTGGGAAAATGCATATAATACAAGAAAATGCACTCAGGAATGCATATGTTGGTGACTGGAACATTAAGAAAATGTGTTACATTGGGGGAAACTGATTTGCTAATTGAATTGAATGAATGAATGAATGCATGCATGCATGTAAGGAGAAAACCACAATAAACGCTGCTGAATTTTCAAGAGGGGGTGTGTGTGTGTGTGTGTGTGTGTGTGTGTGAGAGAGAGAGAGAGAGAGAGATGTGGAAATGTCCAGAATTGAACTTAAGAGTGGTAAAATGAGAAGTCGAAATTGACAGATTTGCCCATCACTAGAAGGAGGTGCACTCACTCAGAGAGGGAGGTGGTGGGGATGGGGGGTGTTGTTGATGGCATCTCGCCCAACAACACAGCGATAGAGCATTTTCCCCCCATGCAGAATATCCCAAGTTCATTTCCCAGCAACTATAGGTAGAGCTGGGAATGTCTTCTGCTTGAAACCACAGAGAGCCACTGCAGGATCAATGGATCTGGTGATTTCCAAGGCAGCTTCCTATGTTCGAGGTTAGCTATCACATGATTGGCATGGCTACATGATGGAGGATATGCCCCAACCTTCCCTTCTCTCAACCCTTTTCTCTCTTTATGCCATTCCTTCCTTCCTTTCTCTTCTTCATCTCACCCTCTGTGTTTTCACTTCTTTGCCACCTACATGAAAATCGGCTTGAAGGTCCCTTGGGTCATAAGTTGTTGGAAGTCAATGGATTTATATATAGATATATACTTATAGAAAAGTATATGAATGGATTCCCTCTCTGCACCTCCCTTTTCTTTCCTCTCCCAGGTGCTTCTCTGGAGTGCGAAGTTTGTTACGGCCTTGGGACCAGATGCAGTGGCAAGATGGCGACCTGTTCTCCTAAGAAAGACACCTGTGTCGTTGCATTTGCTGAAAGTACTATGGGTGGGTGGTGTTCGAGTTGTTGCTGGCGGAATCCCCGATCCAGACTTTGCACAGAGTAGAAATGGATTTGCTCTCCGCCGCAATAGTGACTTTCAAAGCTTTGCTGCAGAACAGTCTTAAAATGGTCACAAATAAATGTTGCACAATACAAAATGCACAGTCGATCTCTACCACTGAACTATTTCCCCTTGAGACTTGCTGGTTATTGAGTCCATTTCTTTGGACCTGTTACTGAGTTCATAATCTGTGGTATGTGACGCTGGTAGGATATGTTCTCAATAATTAGGGTCTCTGGGAGAGGGGCAGAAGTCAGATTAGACTGCGCCCTTTTTAACAAAGATGCCCTTCAATCCAAGAGGAGATTGCGGGAATACTCTTCCCCCTCCACTCCGCTGGCTCCCAAATACTTGCCATCAGTGGTAGAAATCTCAGTAATCTGAGAAATGTGCATCTTCCAGCCAAAAGCACAATGCTTGACATAATGATGTTTTGCTCATCACTGAACAAACCTGTCTCTTTTTCTCACTCTCGTTTCTCCCATAGAAGGACGTAAAATTCGCACTGTAGAGAAAACCTGCGATTCTTCAAAGGTCTGCTCCACTCCCTCAGCATACTTTTATCTTGGGTTGGGGAGAACCTTTAGGATGTACTTGGTCTGTTGCACGGGGGACAACTGCAAAAATGCCAAGCCTAAATGTAATTATTATTATCATTATTATTACATTGATACCCCACCATTCCTTCAAAGAGCTCAGTGTTGTGTACTCACTTTTCAATTTCTTCATTTTATCACCGCAACAATTGCATGAGGAAGGTTAGGCTGAGAGACAGTGACTAGCCCAAAGGGCCCCATGGCTGAAAAGGAACTAAAACATGGTCTCTCATGTTCAAGTCCAGAACTCTAAACATTACTCCACACTGCTTCACCTAAATGCATTTATTTTAAGCACTTTTTTTTTTTTACTTCACTCATTATTCATAAAAGATTCCCAGAGATCAACATCCTCAGAAATAAGGCCACACATACTGAGGTCTACTGTAGTCATGTCCATTTCTTTTAGTGGGTCAACTCTGAGTAAGACTAGCACTAGATACACCCTGTTCCAATTTCCTTGTTGTGCTTCCACCGTCCACCATTTGTCAACATAGTAAGCAGCCTTATATGGAGCCAGACCATTGGTCCATCTGGCTCACTATTGTCTACACTGATTGGCAGTGCCTGTCCAATGTTTCGGGAAGGGGATGTTCCCCTTTCTGCCTGGAGATGCTGTGGATTGAACCCGGGATTTTCTGCTTGCAGAGCAGATGCCACACCACTGAACCATGACCCTTCCTTTCCTCTACTCCATCACATGTAGTCTAGGATGGGCCACCACAATTGTCAATCTGTAATCAATTCAGTTCCATTCGTCATCAACATCTGTCTCTAGCACAGGCTCTCCTCAACCTGAAGACCTCCAGATGTTTGGGCCTACAGCTCTCCTCACCCCAGATACATTAGCCCTGCTGGCTGGCGCTCATGACAGACCCTCCAAGTGTCCCTATTTTCCAGGGACAGTCCCTTATTTAGAGAAGCCGTCCCGGTTTCTGATTTGATTCCGTAATGTCCCACTTTCCCTTAGGATGTCCCTGTTTTTATTGGAGAAATGTTGGAGAGTATGGAGTTATCCAACGCCCCAGCACTCCTGTGTAGGGAAGATTTTTTTAAAAAAAATATATTTAATGTTTGATTATGTTTTTATATATGTTGAAAGCTGCCCAGAGTGCTGGGGCAACCCAGTAATATGTGTGGGGTATAAATAGTAAAAAATAGCATGATAGAATGGGACGTCCCTGTTTTCATTGGAGAAATGTTGGGTGGTATGTTATGAACATGGAACTCAAACAACATCCAGTGGGCACTATGTGCAGGAAGGCTGCTCTAGGCTACAGCCACCTATAAATTAAATGTATTTAGCCTTTAACGCTTTATTAACCAGGATAGCAACAAACCTGGATGGCTTTAAAAGAGGACTGGAGCAAATTCATGGAGGACAAGGCTACCAGTGGCTACTAGCCATGATGGCTATGCTCTTCCACCATGGTCGGGGACAGAATACCAGTTGCTGGAAGTTTCAGGATGGGAGTGGGCTCATGTCGTCAATCTAGCTGGCTACTGTGAGAGCAAGATCCTGGGCTAGATAAGCCATTGGCCTGATTCAGCTGGTTCTTCTTATCTTCTTAGCCTCTGCCTCCCACTTAGTCCATTCCTGAAGCTGATTATGAATCCTGTTCTTTGGCTTGCAGTACCCCAAGTCGAAAAGAAGGTCAATGGAAAGCAATGCCCTACCTGTTACTCCTCGTCAGACGTGTGCCATGCGAAGGTGGTGAATTGTACCGGCTTGGAGAGCTACTGCTTTGATGTGGCCACAACCACCTACATCAGTAAGTCTTGCTTCATGCACAACGTGCCTTTGAGTTCAGTCGGTAGAGCATGAGACTCTTAATCTCAGGGTCATGGGTTTGAGCCCCATGTTGGGGGCTCATGGTCCCTCCCAACTCAACCATTCTGTGATCTGTAGCTGAGCTGATCCTCAGTGCAATGGCATCTTGCCCTTGCGTAGCTGGAGACACAGAGCAAACTGGTTCTGCTGCCTTGTGTCAGGCACAGTATGGGGGCATTTCTTCCAGACAAGGCCATGCAGCAACCCCAGATGCTTGGTGGGTGAAAGGGAACACAGTCACCCTACCAATGGATCCATATTAGCCAGCTTGCAAATTTTAATTAATGGATATTTTTAAATTTTGATGGAATTTTATTGCAGATTTTAATGATGTGAGGAGCTCAGTGTTGTGTGTTCAAGCCCCGTGTTGGGCAAAATATTCCTGAACTAATGGGGGGTTGGACTAGATGAACCTTGTGGTCCCTTCCAACTGTACAATTCTATGATTCCACAATTCTATGTGTGGATTTAATACTTGATTTTATAATAGATGGAAACTGCTTAGAAATAATTTATGTCATGGAAGCAGTATATAAATTAGCACAAAGTAACAGTAAAAATATGCAAGTAACTTGCAGACAGCAACGAAGTACAAAGTAGAGTACAAATGAGCAACAAGTGATATTAATGAAGCCCTGAACATCAGCACATCCAACCAGGATAAAAACCCAGGGATGCAGTTAGGACTTCACTATTGGGCTGACCAAAACGCTTATTTGGAGGTGACATGTTGACTGGCGACAATGATTTCCCAGGCTACCCAATCTTATCTTCCTTGTTCAGATGGACAACGGCAGCGCAGTATCATGAAGGGGTGCACTACAAAGTCCATCTGTGCTTCAATAAACAGAGGCCAGGCCGACCTCTTAACAGGTGCGGACGTTGTTGAAAAGGCCACCTGTACTCCAGAGATTTCAAGGGGATCTCAGTCCTCTGCGCTCCTTCTGCCAACCATTCCGGTGCTTCTGCTGCAGAAGATCCTTTTGTAAAAGGCTCCCACGGGGGACTGCGTCAGCTCTGCATCCGTCTATGCTTGCCTTGTATCCGCTTAGCACTTTCTCTTAATGATGTTGGGCCTTTCAGATAGATTTCCCTTGCTTTCCTCAATGACAGTAAAAAACCACCAGGATTCAAACAAAATCTGTCTGAGCGATTTCCTTTGTCCGCCTTTACGAAACAAGTACCCACCATCACAAATTGGTAGCAAATCTAAATTCTTTGTCCCTTTACCCTCTCTCCTCCTTAAACTCGTGGGTATCCCCCCTTCCCTATTCAGCCACTGCCCTCTTTCTTCTTTCCGCTTCTTCCCTCCTTGTCCTGCGTTCCCTCGACGTCCTGCTCCTCCCACGTCTCCTACAGCTTCTATGCTTTTCTCCACGGCTTCTTTCTGCTATGTAAGCTCTCCTATGTCCCTTCTCCTGTCTTCTTCCCAGCTCAGCTATTGCTTCGCTTTCCCCTCCTTTCTTAATCTCGCTTTGTTTGATGCACTGTTAGTCAATATCCCTTTCCAATTCTGCAATCTCCGTCGCAGGGTTCTTGATTAAATCCCCACACGGTGAGACTCATTTATAATTTTTTGTTATCACTGTTCTTACTTAAAATAAAGCTTACCAGACCCCCTTTCTGTTGTTGCTGGTTCTCTTTCCCCCCCTTTTTTTGATGGGGTGACTTTTCTCAGCGTCAGTTAGTTTAAATGAGAAACCTGGTGCTTGCTCTGCCGGGTCTTGAGGAGTCTCACGGTCGAGAGTGTAGTCTCTTTAGCGCGAGGTTCTCCCGTCCTCCTACCTCTCTGTTTTTATTTCTTTTTCTGTGGTATGAAGTAACAGGAAACCCCCTTTTGCGCCGCTCGATGCTTCGACTGGAGACCTCCCCTCCAGTTTTTTTCAGGGGTTAGCGTCGTCTTCGCGCCCCCTCCCTCTCGTTTTCGGCGATAGGTGTCCTCCACTGAAGAAGAGCACTTTCCCCGACTGTCTCCTCAAGCGCACCATGGCAAATATATTTTAGGATTTTTTGAGCTGCTCCTGCGAAGAAGGCAACCTTGTTTGCAGTGGCATCCTTGTGGTCTGCCAACAGATAACACACAATATCAGTCAGGGTCCAGCCTGATTTGGCTGTTGAAAGATGTCTCAGGGAACAAGCTCTGAGATCTGTATCATAGCTGTCAACTTTTCCCTTTTCTTGCGAGGAATCCTATTCGGAATAAGGGAATTTCCCTTAAAAAAGGGAAAAGTTGACAGCTATGATCTGTATATAAGGGACTATTGCACCCCCCCCAAAGTGTCCATATTTTCCAGGGGTGTCCCTGATTTAGAGAAGCTATCCCGGTTTCTGATTTGATCCTAGAATGTCCCACTTTTCCTTAAGATGTCCCTGTTTCCATTGGAGAAATGTTGGAGGGTATGGAGTTATCTGAAAGCTGTCTGAAAGCAATCCTGTATTAGGGAAGTTTTTTTTAAAAAAATGTTTAATGTTTCATTATGTTTTTATATATGTTGGAAGCTGCCTAGATGTGGCTGGGGCAACCCAGTAAGATGTGTGGGGTATAAATAGTAAAATCATCATTATGGAATGGGACCTCCCTATTTTCACCGGAGAAATGTAGGAGGGTATGCTATCGTCCTTCACCTCCCCACAAACGTCTACCTGCCATACATAGGAAATCCCTTTCTAATTTCCCTACAAATAGGCTGAAGACATTGTATGGAAACAAAGAACAGTAAAAGCTTTGCTAAGTGCAACAGGAGTTGAAATGCTGTTGAAAATGCTGTTGAAAATATTGATCTCCCTTTAGTAAACCAAACCAAGGGGGGAAATGCTTGGGTGTTGGTGGGCAAAAACATTTTCATGAGAATCAACCTCAGAAATTCTTGTTTCTTATGAAAATTTTTTCCTTATGGACTAAGGAAATACATAAATCCGAATGCATGGTATTTTTAAAGTAAATGACTCCACAGTTCATGAAAACATTTCACCTTACCTGAAATTGCCTATAGTGGGGGTTCCCAAACAGTGGTCTAGGGACCACCAGTGGTCTGCAAGCTTCATTCAGTGGTCCATGTTATTTGTGTGAAGAATGGTGGGGGCAGCAGACTGAGCGACTGATTCATTGCTCTTATAATCCAATGGTCCACCTGGATGGTGAGCAGGGTGAATATTTTCTCCTTTCCCCCCTCTTTTTATCACTTTATTTCTTTATAGCCGAAAACTTTACAATAAAATATTAATATCAAAAAAGAGAGAAATGACTGGAGGGCAGCTGGTTGTGGGTAAGGAAGCACTTGGAAGGAGTGGAGAGGATTAGCAGTGAAGTTAATGGAAGTCTAGGATGAATAATTTTAATGCTGAATCTGCCTTAAGACTCAAGCTGATGGATGTTACACTGAAGAACTTTGCAACAGGTCCACCCATTGCATTATGTTGATTTTTATAGAATTCAATTCACAGTGCAATAAAATGCAATACAGTAAACCTGCAATTTACATGGGGGCTACATTCCAGGGATCATGGCTAAAGACAAAATCGTGTATAGTCAAAACCAGCATTTGAAATTTGCCAGGTGCCAAGCAGCTTGGATTTTGCCTGTTTTCACACACTAACAACACATCCTGTAGCATTCTATCTCTGATAGTTTATCTGCACAAACAGAACAAATTTCAGGAACCACAGGCTAAGGTGATCAGCGCGCATCATTTATCAAATTGTCTTAAGCTGTTATGTTAATACTCACCCACTGTACTTGTTGTTTTTTAAAAAAACTTGTCTTTTCAAAAAAGGTTTCATACAGAATTTCTTTTTTTAAAAACAACAACAACCCACGTGTCTTTTCAAGTTTTCCAAATAAGAGCAGCTTTTCAAATGTTAAAAAGGGGTGGGTGGGTGGTTTATCAGGTTTGTTTAAAAAAATGTGGGTAAGGTTACACTGCATGTTATGACTGCATATTTGTATATGCCTTCTCCTCCTGTCTCTTCCCTCTTTGTGAATAACGTAAAAAGCAACCTGCTCATCCAGATAAATGGCTGCAGGGATGGCCAGCCCTGTTGTGATGCAGTGAGAGAGCTGCCCCAGGCAGCTGTCCTTGGGTGTCATGAAAGGCTTGCAAATTCGTTTGTTATTTTATCTATTCTTACTGTAGTTATGAGCAATTGGGGAATCTTCTGCCCCAGGGGCTAAATTCACTTGGGTTAGCTTTGGGACCTAGGCACCTGGACTTGGGAGGCAACCACCATTTACTGCTTTGTGTTAGGCAAAAAAGTGTCACAAGAAGATAAGATCGTGCTGGATCAGGCCAATGGCCCATCCTGTTCTGACAGTGGGTGATCAGATGCCCATGGGAAGCCCGCAAGCACAAGAGCTCTCTTTCCCTCCTGCAGCTCCCAGCACCTGGTATTCATAAGCGTTGCTGCCTCTTGACTGTGGAAGCAGAGCACAGCTATCATGCCTACTAGTCACTGATGACCTTCTCCTCCATGAATTTGCCCAATCCCTTTTTAAAGCCATCCAAATTGGTGGCCATCCCTGCCTCCTGTGGGAGTGAGTTCCATAGTTTAACTATGCACTATGTCTCAGGCTGAGAGACGCGGGTGGCGCTGTGGGTTAAACCACAGAGCCTAGGACTTGCCGATCAGAAGGTCGGCTGTTCGAATCCCCGTGACGGGGTGAGCTCCCGTTGCTCGGTCCCTGCTCCTGCCAACCTAGCAGTTCAAAAGCACGTCAAAGTGCAAGTAGATAAATAGGTACCGCTCCAGCGGGAAGGTAAATGGCATTTCTGTGCCCTGCTCTGGTTCACCAGAAGTGGCTTAGTCATGCTGGCCACATGACCCGGAAGCTGTACGCCAGCTCCCTCGGCCAATAAAGCGAGATGAGCACGCAACTCCAGAGTTGGTCACGACGGGACTTAATAGTCAGAGGTCCCTTTACCTTTACCTATGTCTCAGGCTGGCTCTGAAATGGCCCATGCCATGGCCATTTCTAGCCAAAGCCTATTGCCAAGTAGATGGACATGGGGCCAGAGCCATCTATGTATTTCCCCTTCAACGCTTGGCAGCGCCCCAGACTTAGAATCATAGAACTGTAGAGATGGAAGGGACCACGAGGGGCTTCTAGTCCAACTCCCTACATTGCAGGAATCTTTTGCCCAGGGTGGGGCTTGAACCCATGACCCTGAGATCAATAGTCTCATGCTCTGCCAACTGAGCTGTCCCTTGATTTTGCTTGACTTACGTTTAAAGAGCATGGTGAGTTTGCAGCCAACAAACACAGAATGGTGCCTTGTGCTAATCAGACCATTGGTCCATCTAGGTTAGTATCACTGGCACTGGCCGGCAGCAGCCCTCTGGGATATCAAACACAGCATCTTTCCCAGCCCCTCATGAAGATGCCAGGGATTGACGCTGGGACTTTCAGCAACTGAGATACAACGCTAGATTGCAGTTAGGTTTCGAGTACAGTTTATAAGCTAAAGGTTTGGTGCACATCTCTGTTCAATACAAAAATCCAGTTTTTAAGTTCATTAAGAAAGAAGAAGCATGCATGACACACGCAGAGGCTTTTACTGAGTCAGATCATTGTGTTCTCAGAGGGGCTCAAACTGCCCCCTTCTCTTTACTCCCTCCTTCCTTATTATCTCCTTCCCTGTTGATAGTGGTCATCATAAAAATCAGCATTCCCAGGAGGCTCAGCTGATTTACGGTAAATCCCGCTTTGAATTCCCACTCACTACTGGTGCAGTCAGTAGTCTAAACACACCCACCCACACCCATTTCTTAAAGAAGTCATCCTCATCTCATTGGCTGCAACAGAAGTGCAGGCAAACTAGCCAAGGGCATACAAGTAAGAAGAACAGTTTGCAAGAGAGCAGAAACATCTCAGTCCCAGTGGAAAAGCATCAAGGGAAACAGCTGGCCTGTCGGAGGAGAAGGTAGGGAACTCCAATTTATTCAATGTATTAGCCATCATTTGTAGCAGAAACCAGGCGATTGCATTTCAGGAGATTAATCTTGGAGAAATGTGAAGATCAGGAGAAGGTCCTGTAGAACAGCCTCCCCCAAACTTGTTTTCTTCCAGTGGGTATCTCTTTGACCACTATGAGAACAGAGTTTTGGACCTGATCCGGAACACCTCTTCTAATGTTCTTATGGCGCCTTCCTTGGGTTTTTGGCTACAACTCCCATCATTCCCAGCCACCACATCTTTGCTAGGTATGGCTGATGAGAGTTGTAGTCCAAAACATGGAGGACACTAGGTTGGGGAAGACTGATGGAGAAACCTCCAGCTCAGGAGCTGAATCCTGAGTTATCTAGTTCTGCAGAAATATATCGTTCTTGTAGCTCTGCTCCAGCAGAGAAGCCTTGTCTTGCTGTAGCAAATGTGAAGCAGCAACCTTTCCTGATGCGCAAAGGCAGCAGCTCATATAATAGTTCTCATCTGACAAAGCCCACAATGAAGAACTAGGGAGAGGAAGCTGATGCATAAAGGATAGGCTCAGCCTTCACTTTAAGCTTGGTTTATGTTAAGCTTTCCAGGCCAGAGATGGGGAACCTGTGGCTATCAACCAGAGAAAGCACAGCGTAATGGGAGTCCAATGACATCGCAAGGGTCAAAGACCACCTACCCCTTTTTAGAAGCTAAATCACGGAACTGTAGTCCTCCCTTCAGTTTAAAAATCTGCCAAGTGAATCTTATGGAATTAATCTCCAGAATTTAAATCTGTTGCCGGAGCAAAGAGGGGAGGGGCTTTATTATTTCTCAAACACGTGATCATGCACATGCATTTCAAAACAATAGAAATTATCCTTCTATAGTATCGTTTTAGACCTCATCAGAAGTAGTGCTCCCAACATGAGATGGCGGGGAGCAGGGCTATGCTAGTTGGGAAACAGGTTTGCCTTCTTGGTATATTTCTGCTTCCTTCTCTCTCTCTCTCTCTCTCTCTCTCTCTCTCTCTCTCTCTGTCTCTCCCCCATTTTTAAAAAAGAATTTTGGATGTCTATTTAATATAACATCCCCTAATAAATCTGTCTTGCTCCTTACCCCTTGCCCCTCCTGTTTGCTTTTTAAACATGTGTCTTTGCTGGGGATTTGTAGTGCAGTGGTAAGCATTGCTTACTCAGAAGTACATCCCAGTATCCTTAACAGGACTTTCTTCCAGGGAAAGGTTTCTAGAATTGCAGGATGAATCTCTGATCCCTTTTCCCCCAGAATTATGAGCGTGGAATATCTTTCAACACTTGCGAGTCTGGCAGTGTTCTTATTTTCAACCAGAAAAGGAATTTTAAGCTTCTGAAAAGGCATAGGTTGAGCAAGGCAGGCACAATCTGTGGCCCCGTGTGGTGAAATAACTGGGACAGGATGCAGGGTTGGGTAAAAATCAGACCAAATCTTTATAGACCACAGCATAAAGTGGGGTTGGCATGGCAGTAGGGCAATGGTCCATTGCTTCAGTCCTTGCTGAAAAGAACTGAGTTCTCCTCCATGAGAATATTCCAGGGCTGAGCCCTGACATGGTGGAAGCCAAATGCCCAGGGTCTCACTGAGTGCCTGGGGTGAGAGATTCCAGCCATGCGGGGGCCCTAACCTGATCTTAGGGTGTGCATGGCCAATATTTTCCCCTAGACACGTTATGGAGGCCCCCATTGCTTTACTGATCCTGCCCAATGCCATTTCTGCTGATATACAGACCTTGGTTAGTCGGCATCCATCTGTCTCGGGAGACAATGGAGAAGCGCACCTTTGGGGGGGGGTGAAATCAAACCATTGGAGAGTTAATGGCTGCTGTGGCTGTACACCCAAAAGGGAAATACATGTTTTGCTGCTGTTCTGACCATTGCCTAACAAAAGTACACCTTAGGTCACTGAGGGATAGGTGAAAACCCCTCAAGGTTGGAAGAAAAAATTCCTTTGATGGCCTGTCAACCAGCAACCCAAATAGCCTAGTGAAGTTCTCACACAGAGGGTGGATGGATCATTCACTACAGACAAAGCGTTCCCATAGCCCACGTGAGCGAGACCAAAAAGGCCTCATCCTTCTTCCCTCTTGCAAGATCCCACGGGACGACCCACCGTGTTTGATCTCTCTAGAAGGTGAAGGAGGTGCAAAGGTGCCCCCCCCACCGGCCGGACCCTGCACTGCCAGGTACAGTCACTCCGTGTGCGGTGGCACCCGGAAACATACTACTTTTGTTCTTGTTTTTGTGTGTGTGTGTGTGTGTTGTTTTTGTTTAGGTTGCATGACAGAGCTCATTCACTGAGCATTCATTCTGTTTTGCTTGTGCAAAAATTGCGGGGCGCTCCGTCGGCCTTGGCTGCTTAGTTTTATTGAGCATTTGTTGAAATTTGCTTGTGGGAAGGCTGTACAATGCTGCATCACCAAAGTGTTAGCGCACATTTTCCAATGCATTTCTCTGGCACTTCCCTTATGGAAAAGTAATCTGATTTTGTGTGTGTGCAAGAGAGGGAGCTAGTTTGCTTCTCAGGAGCGCCCCATCAAGTGTCTGGGGCTGGTAGGAAGTCCAATAACATCTGGAAGGCCAGAGGAATCCCCATTCTTGCAATCTTGGATTTCCCCCAGATAATTTGGTGTCACCTGGCTTTTTACGTGTTTTTGCATGCTTAAATGCACACTTTGGTAAGCTAACACCTGGTTTCGACACTTCCTCTGTATGTTGTTGCAGGTCCTTTGAACCAAGTATTTTGACACATTGTGGAGAGAGCCTTCTGTTCTTGTGCTCTCTTATTTCCCATCACCATGCAGGCTGCCCTGAAATGCTTCTTCTTTGCACTTCTAAAGACAGGTAAGGAGTGTCTGGGAGCCTCCTGGAGGTCTGTTCCTTCCGGGATGAATAGATTTGGAGCCAAGCTTGTGTCACAGGATTGGTATTGATACAAGATGGATAATGCAGCTTTCTGAAATGCCTGTAGCTCATTGGTAGAAGGCAACTTGTATTTCCTGGGTTTTTCTTTTCAAATTGTGATTTTACGTTGCAAAAGATCTGCGGGTATAGGATGGTATGCAAATTTTAAAAATAAAATAAATAGTAAATAATAAACTGTTTTGCATGCAAGAGGTCACAGGTTCAGTTCCTGGCATCTCCAGATAGGACTGAGAACATACTGTGTCTGAAATCCTGCTTTTGGGGTTTTTAAAAAATCACCGCAAAGTAGCTTAAAAGTATTTTTAAAAAACCAAAAACAAACCAGAAGCCACTCAGAAGAAGATATAGAAAGGCCTATCAGAAGTAGAGACATCCATGTTATCTCAAGATGTGCACCCAGAAACTTCAAAGAAAACAAAACATTTTTTTTAAAAAATTGTGACCATTTGCCAGTAAGAAAGAAGGATCAGGTACTGCTGGGGAACACCTTTCAAGCTGAATGTGTGGATGGACAGAGAGGAGATTGTAGTCCACAATACTGATGATTCGTGGCAGTTATTAGGAATCATTGAAGCAATGCTCACAATACGCTCCAGCCCATTCCGTTGGGAATGAAGGGACAAAAAGCAGCCAAAGATAATATGGAAATAAAGAAGCAGGAAACCCCCATTTAACTCCCATCATCAATAATAATAACATCACCTGTTTTCACTTCTTAAAACCCCCTCAAAGTAGCTTAAGAAACACTAAGAAGTTGAAATACTTTATTGTCACTTGTACAACTTGTATACAGTAAGATTACACAAGCACCCCCCACTCAGCTCACTTAGTATTAATTCCCCTCGTTTACTGACGCACACCCACCAAACCTGAAAGTCAGTTCCCTGTTGTTATCTTTTCATTCAGCAGCCTAACAGCCTACAGATAGAAGCTGTTCTTTACTCTGTTGGTGCAACTAATCATGCTTCTATATCTTCTGCCCGAGGGCAGGAGATCAAGAAAGTGCCAGCCAGGGTGTGAATCATCCCTGAGAATTTTCCTCACTCTCCTGAGGCAACGTTCTTCCGCTGTTTCATCCAGCGGATTCACGGGACAGCCCATAATATCTTGTCCTGTATTCACTACCCTCTGTAGGCACTTCCTATCAGTTGATGTCAAACCAGCGTACCACACTGTGATGCAACAAGAAACAACAATTAAAAATCATTCATTTCCTTCCTCTGTTTGACCACTTGATGCCTCTTCTTATATCTGTGTGTAAACTCCTACTCTCTGGCTGATCCCCGAACCTTGCAACGGGCACAAACGGGGGTACCCCGAAAGTAGGTGACCCATGGCTTATTCCTGCACAAAAGTATCTTCATTTGATCTCATTTTTTAAAAGTGTCTTTCCCTCTTCCAGCTGCTTCTCTGGAGTGCGAAATCTGTACTGCCAAGGGGACCAATTGCACTGGCAGCGTGCGGACCTGTCCTGGGAACAAAGAAACCTGCCTCATCACACTGACGGAAAGCACCGTAGGTGGGTAGGAGAGGTTGCAAGCCAGATCAGGGCAGTGGGTGGGCTTAGGCAAGACCACTGACAGCTGCTGCCTGTATAGATGGCACAGTGGACTTTTCAGCTCAGGATGGGGCTCTGCATGGCCAGGGTGGAAGATTGCATTCTGTTTCACAATGCCTTTCAGGAGACTGAGGTTGAAGCACTTATCTTTTGCTCAAGAAAAGTGGTGGTGGGGAGAACCCGTGGTCCTCCGGATGCTGCTGAACTACAACTCCCATCAGCCCCAAGCAAGCATGAGCAATGGTTAGGGATGGTGGGAGTTGTAGTTCCGCAACATCTGGAAAACAAAATGTTCCCCACATTTTGGATCTATATCATCTGTATGTCACCCACCTTTTTGTCATGGAAGGTCAACTATTTGGGTGCACAGGTACACTGATTGTACGCTAGTAGACCTGGGCGATGTTTCAATTCATCGTCTGAAACCTCTGTGAAGTTCAGATCGTGATACTGGTTTCAGACTTTTTGAGCTAGTGATACATCACAGCTCCCTGGCCACTGCAAGTGGAGTGCATCTCACTCCAGACTCTCCAAGCGTCTGTATTTCCCCGGGATGTCCCTGATTTAGAGAAGCTGTCCCGGTTTCTGATTTGATCCTTGAATGTCCCACTTTTCCTGAAGATGTCCCTATTTTCATTGGAGACATGTTGGAGGGTATGGCATTATGTGACTCCTGAGCCATCTGAAGGCAATCCTGTATAGGGAAGTTTTTTTAAAAAAATGTTTAATGTTTTATTATGTTTTTATATATGTTGGATGCTGCTCAGAGTGGCTGGGGCAAGAACTGGCAAAAATGACAGAAAGACTAAGAGAAAAAGACAACAGAGACTTTGAAAAAGATTGGGAACCATTCATATTATATTTGCAGAAACAAAGAAAGGCAATAGACTTGATGGCAGGATTTAAATAAATATTCACATTATTAGCATCAGAAAATGTTTGGAAGATAGTGAAATAAGATGATGTATTTTATTTTATTTTTATGTTTTTAAGGTTTGATGTTATGTTATTAATAACTTTTTCTGTTGGGAGATAGCAAAGCAGGTGAAAATAGAAACAAATCAGAAACGCAAGTTGGGGGAAGTCTTGGAGGGGAGGGAGAGAGGAGTACGATATATAGCAAATGTTAAGAATTTGAGATGTATGTAATGAACGAAAATGAAAAATGGATATATATATAAAGAGTGGCTGGGGCAACCCAATAAGATGTGCGGGGTATAAATAGTAAAATTATCATTATGGAATGGGATGTCCCTACTTGCATCGGATAAATATTGGAGGGCATGTCACTCCCATCTGGTTGTTCTGTGCTTGCGGGAGCCATGATGTACTGCCAGCTCAAATTGCCTGTTCTCCCGACTGTTGGGTTGAAATCACGACAGACGAGTGGCAGGTGTCATATGAGAGGCGTCTCTGCCGGGGCAAGCCCCGGGAACTCTCTTTTATCGAATATTACAAACATTGCCATAGGTGTGCTTGTGGCTGATTGGTTGATACAAACACAAAGCAACTTGTTGCTGATTGGTTAACATAGGTACAAGGCGGGAATTACATATGAGCATTTATCACTGATGGATCAAAGGCTGAGAATCGGAGCTGGAACTAGACAGGCATGAAACCTCCTAATTAAATTATAACTAAAGATTAATATTGAGAGAACATAACATGAAAGAATACAACAATCACGTTCCGTAGATGTTGTCAGCAATGCATTAAGAACAGGTCAGGATACACTGTTTCATGAACTCAATGGGAACTGTTCAGAACATTCTCAGACTCTTGTGCAGAAGCAGAGAAAAGATTATGAGCGAGACTTCCCAGAATGCAAGAGAAAAGAAGCAATAGTTCTCATAGCAAGACTTCATAGCAAGACTTCCCACAATGCCACAGTTATGTGCAGTAAGAGAACTGCAGAAAGAAAACTTCCCTTCACCCGACCAGGAGGAAAAAGGCAGCCCGCCCCGCTTGCTCAGGTGAAGGCAGGCAGATGGGGCTGTGAAGGGAGGGAATGAGCAGGAGCTCCTTCACCTGAGCAAGCGGGCAGCCCCCTTCCCTTCCTCCTGGTTGCTCCTCCCTCCCTCCACAGCCCAGCCACTTTTCAGCCTTTTTCTGTGTTATTTCAGACATCGTGATATATCACTCTATCATGATGGTAAGAAGGTGGTATGTCATGATGCTGAAAGCCAGATATCGCCCAGCCCTATATACAAGTTGAATGCAACTTGTGAATACTCCTCGTGCGACTCACACATAAGTGACCGAGAGCCTGTGTGTTGGCTGGGGGAGAGCACCCCTGGGTCTTTGCAATATGCATCCTACCAACAAATGATGGGCGTTCTGCTAGTCTACTATGTATCGTGGAAAGTTCTTGGATGGACTAAATGGCCCTTAGGGTCCCTTCCAACCTTGCAATTCTATGATACCCATTCAGACACTTCGTAATATATTGATACCAATTTTTCCGCGATGGTTCCCAAGATCAAGGAGTACCGTAGGTTTTGGTCTTTACTGAGTACAGTTGGAAACCATTTTCAATCAAGGTGGGGAAAGGAACCTTTCCAAACTGTGCTGATTTTTTGTTTGTTTTATAATTCCTAAACAACAAAAGTGGATGGTTAGCCCTTATGGTTGCTAAGAGACCTATAATTTAAGCCTGGAAGGATAAATGCCCTGTGTTTGGTTCACAATGGGCTGAGGGTCTCATGGCCCTGCCTGCATTTGAATGTATTTCCAATAGGCCTCAATTCTGCATCAATATGCGCATATGAAGGGCTTATATTAACTTAGATGTTAAACTTTAAGACACCTGTTGATGGTTGATGCACCTGCAATGAGAATGGATATTTTGTGTGTGTTCCGATTATTTTATTTTACTTTATTATTTGTTAAATTTATATACCACCCTTAATCTGATGTTATTCTTTCTTTCTCTTTTTTTCTTTTATGGTATTTAATTCTCCCCCCTTCCTTTTCTTTGTTAAATTTGCAAATAAAAAAAAAATACTATTAATAATCAGAGCTACTCGGGAGATGAAGCTGCTAGTTGCTAAATAAACCTCTCTCCTCCTTTTTTTTGGCCACTTAAGACGGAAAGGTGGTTCAGACCGTAGAGAGAAGCTGTGCTTCCACTTTTTGGTGCAACGCCCCACCACCTTACTTTGATATGGGGGGAGGAAGAACCTACAGGTCCAGTTGGGTCTGCTGCACCGGGAAGACCTGCAGACAAGTCACTCCTCAACGTACGTATATAAATTTCATGCTGGTCCCTCTCCCCAAAATTTCCTTATCCTTTCCTTACGTTCACTCCCTGTAACCAGTTGTGCAGGGGTCATGGAAGGTTGAAGACCCACTGCTACTTCTGCAGAAGGTGTAATGACCAATTAGGTTCTTTTAATCTGTTTAGGTGTTTAATATAGATGAGACCCAGCACACTCTAGGAAGGCACAAGTAAACCTCAGACAACCCATATTGGATTGTCTCTATAAGAAGTTTTATTGATTAACTCACATGTCAAGGCAAGGAATATGCACTCAACCATACATCCATTCATACACCTTTCATACTCACCACTCTTCACTCTTCACTGAATTGATCAGGTTCAGTAAGAGCCACGGGTGGCAGACAACAGCGTTGTCAAATGTCTGGCACACGTCTTAGGCTGGAGGGCTTTGCCAGATATACACCTTGTTGTTCATCTGATTCTTGGCATTACACAACTCCTTACTCCTTGTTTTTGGCATCTCACATCCTTGTCCTTGGCATCATCTCACAACTCTTATCTTACCTCAAAGGTAATGTTGTGTAGCCCTTCTTGTATGTGCTGTTCTGTACCGTTCCTACAACACAGTTCATGATCAGTTCACTGACAGTTCAAAGACATCACATCCATTTTGTGGTGTTCTTCAGCCATCTTTAGGCCCATACAAACCATCCCATTCGTTACAAAGGGTCTCCGTCTCCAGCAACCTAGAGGCACCCAATAGGCATGGGTGTCAGGGACTGGACAGAGGAGGAATGCTGGAGACCGCCTCCTGAACCTTCCAGAGAAGAGGAAGACAGTACAGATTTACAACAGTTGTTTGAGGAAGGTTACGGCTCAGAGGCAGATGAGGGGCAAAGTTGGGAAATAATGGAAGAGGAGGAAGGGGAAGCAGAGCCGGAGCAGCTGGCTGACACATTATCACTAGAAAGCATTCGAGACCCACCTTCTCCCAGAACCTGGTGAGCATTGAAAGCAGGAGAGCAAAAGGCTCAGAGGCAAATGGCCTTAAGCGGGCACCATAAGGTGGGTGGTGTTGTTGACAACTGAGGAGAGAAGTGGGGTGGAGATTACTCAGAGCAACGCCATTACTCCAAGAGGCTGCATTTCTAAGCCTCTTTCTGTGAATATTGAATAAAAGACCTTGGTAAGAGCTTTCCTTATCTATCTATTCCTGGCAGCCTACTGTGGCGGGGTGTGTGTGTGTCAGATTAGCTGGCGCCTGACAATGGGAGGGGAAATTTTAAGCCACTGTGTACTCCAAGGCTCTGCATTCAGGAAGACCAAAAGCAGAAGGTGCTTCCATTTCAAGACAGTTCCCTGGGAAGAGGGGTTGACTGAAACCGCTCTGGAAATTGTAGCTCTGAGGGTGGGGGCCAGGAGATATGTGACAACTTGACTTAAGGAAATGGTGGAGGCTCAGGCTGTTTGCTCACATGACCCTCAGGCTGAAAAAGGTCCCTGCCTCCCCCGCTCTGTATTTCTTTTTGGTCCAGTCCTTGAGCTGACCTGGAGTATCTTTTGTTTCTGTTTTCAGTGCCACCACTAAAGCCTAGAGCCAATACAACGCCAAACCCATCCAATTCCTCCTGCTCAGGCACTTACAGCACTGAGATGGCGAATTGTACCAAGGTGGAAACCAACGGCTTTGGCAGGGCCTCCAGTAAGTGATTTCCTCCGCAGTGCAGGTTCATTTCTTCCATGATCTGTAGGCGGGTGGGTATTTATTGCAGATATTGATATAGCACAGTTTGGAGCAACTGGAAGCATGAGAACGGGCTCCTTTTGGAAATATGAAGCATTGTCCAGACCCATCAAAATATAATTCGAAATTTTACTGGCAGAACTCTACAAAAAAGCATCACATGAGCATCAAAGATACATCCCAAATATCCATGCAATGTCTCGTGCTGTCCAGCACAGACTCAGCATCTTAGAAATAAAAGATAACTTCATAAATCAAAACATCTCTCTCCCCCCCCCCCCCCCATTCAGGAGTGCTGTCCAAGGACACTGAATCTGCCAGCTGTCTCTCTTCTAGTGTTTCCTCTTCTAGCTGCTCCTCACCCAGTATTTCCCAGCTTTCCCCCTCTGGACTATGCCCTTCTACAAACCACTATTCTAAATCAATATTATCCTCCTGCCCTTGGGAAGGTTCAGAAAAAGGGGGCGGCGGCTCCCACCATTCCTCCTCTGTACAGTCCCTGATAGGTGTTCTCCTCCAACTACCGCTGTTCCACACTTTCTCCTCTCTATATCCTGGGATTCCCTACACTTTGAAAATCTAAATAGTAGAGCTACATCAATTGTGTGGGGAATCTCCAGATTTAGGGGGTGGAAAGTATGGGTGTGGATGGTTCCAACACAATGTAGTATTTTGGTTTTGCCGTTTACTTGTTAAGATATTGTTTTATTTTAATGTCTTATTGTGTAAACTGCTCTTGGGTTTTTAATGAAGAGAGGTCTTTGCAAGTGTTGTTGTTGCTGCTGCTGTTGTTATTACATGAAGGTTCTTCCTTGAGGCAAGGCGAGACAACTGCCGCACATACTGGATTTTGGTTACCCTTAGGTGGCAGAGCGAGGGAGATCTGAGGCACGTGAGATGCAATCTACAGGAAGGTCTCTTGCAAAAAGCCCCATTGGAATGAAAGGACCTTAATTGCCAGAAATTGGAAAAAAGAATTCGTGCCAAAAAAATGCAATGGCAGGATAAATTACTAAACTATATCAAATTAGCTAGATTAACAGAGGCAATTAGGGGACTCCCCAGACAAGAATTTCAAAAAGAATGGGGAAAATGTAAAGAATTCTTCACAAAACAGTGCCCTAAAATATACACCTGGACTTGTTTCGATGAATGTCTGCAGGAGACTTTGTGGTTTTCTTTTTAAGTCATAATTTGAAAAAAGTCTTAATAATAACCCATAAACGAAACAGTTCACAAGAAGTAAATAAGGAGGCCATGTACAGGTTAAAGGAAGTCTTTTATTTTGTTGTTTGTTTTATGTTATATTTATTTTATGTTATGTTCACGTCTAATGGTGGTGGATTCGTTTATTTGACTTGTGGTGGATTTATGTTGTAAATAATAATTTTAAAAATGGAATGAATGGAGCTGGATCAAGGTTGTGGGTCATTTCCATGCAAGTCAATGGCTTTGGATAGATGGGCTGAGCTCTACTGGTGAGCAGTAGATAGGCCTCGCTTTGTGGCAAACACAGGGTTCATTTCAAACAGAGTAGGTGGAGCAATTTGGAGAGCAGTTGCAAGCAATAATGTCCCGGCAACCCATATCTTGTCTTCCATATCCAGATGAAACCCCCACGGAGAGGCTTTCGAATGGTTGCACTACGAGGTTTGTGTGTGCTTCAGAAAATAGCAAACACTCTGAGTTTACGGTTGGCTATGATGTCGTTCATAAGATGGAGTCTTCCAAGGCGGCTCAACCCACTGCTGTCCTCCTGCCAAGCTTCTCTGGGCTCCTGCTGCGGAGAATCCTGTTGTAAAAGTTGCCTGCATGAGATCGCATCAACTCTCCCATTGAATTCTGCCTCCTCTTTCACCCATGAACCACTTCCTCTGAATGCACTTTGGCCTTTACTGCTTTCCTCAGTGAAAATTAATATTGGGATTAAAACAAATGACATGTTAAATGCATGGCAGCTGTGTTTATTTGTTAGGAAAAAATTAGACCCTTGTGGCAGAAACACATTTTATTTTAGTGCAGAGTTCCTCCAGCTCCTCACAACTGACAGTAGTGAATCACAGAATTACAGAGTTGGAAGGGACCCTGAGGATCATCTAGTCCAACCCGCTGCAATGCAGGAATAGGCAGCCATCCCATATGGGGTTCAAACCTGCAACCTTAGTGTTACCAGCACCACACTCTACCCAACTGAGCTAGCCAGGCAATTTAATCAATCTTATTTCTCCCAAAGGTTCAAAGGAATAAGCAGAGACCCAGTTGGTGAAGGGTTTAATGCCATCTAGTGACTAAAGCATGCAATTAGCATGCAATCCGGAAGTCCGTTCTTAAACCAAAACTGTTCTTAAACTGAGGTGCTCTTTCCCTAATGAGGCCTCCCGCCACCAGTGCCCTTCCACCATTCGGATTCTGTTCTTAGACCGAGGTAAAGTTCTCAAACCAAGACACTATTTCAGGTTTTGTGGAGTTTGTAAACCAAATCGTTCTTAAACCGGACTGTTCTTAAACCGAGGTACCACTGTATTCTTCTCTGTTTTGGAAAGTTGTTCTTTATGCATTTGGACACCAGTACAGATACTGTAGCCAGATTTTGCATGAGGTCAAGGAGTAAGGTTTTGTCTATGTTTGAATATGGGTGGGTGCCATTTTGAGTTATAGTGGCAGACTGAACCTTTCAAAACTGCACTAATTTTAGCCACTGGTTTCAAAACTGCACTGATTTTTGTTATTATAATTTCTTAGAAGTCCCAAGGAATGCTGGGTATGATGATCCTAGTTGATTATAAGTACAAACTGTTGCTGCATCAGCCTTAGCAACAGTTTTAGGTGCAGAAGGAACCATTGTTTGAAAACAGCTTTATGTTTTAGTCACTAGATGGCAATATTGCCTTCATGACTAGTGATAGATAGATAGGTGTCAGCACTATTTCAGGAGTGGGAAACCTCTGGTCCACAAGCCTACTTATCCCCACCAGGCTTCTCCATTTGGCCTGTTGAGGCCATTTCAGCCAAGCCACATCCACCTGCCCCACATGTCAAATGTGAGGCGGGCAAAAACCTGGCTCAGCTGAAAGGGGGTCTGCAAGCACTGTCAATCTTGGTTTCAAGAAGGAAAGTCATTCATAAAGAAAGGGAAAATGTCAGATCTTCAGAAGATCCTTTCAAAGCACTGCTGTACAATGTAGCATTTTGAACATGACTTCTGAAGACCCCCTTGTGGGCATAAAATGTCACCAGGTGCCATTGTGATGTCATGTGAGTGACCCCACCCACCCGTCGAGCTTGGCCTATGATGGGAGGGGGAGCTCATGATCTGAACTGCCACCCAGTTCCCCACCCCTGCCTTACATCGACCAAAGCAGGAAAATAATAGTGTGCAGTAACAACAACAACAACAATAATTTATTTATACCCCGCCCATCTGGCTAGGTTTCCCCAGCCACTCTGGGCGGCTCCCAATCGAATATTAAAAACACAATACAGCATTAAACATTAAAAACTTCCCAAAACAGGACTGCCTTCAGATGTCTTTTAAAAGTAAGATAGTTGTTTATTTCCTTGACATCTGGTGGGAGGGCGTTCCAAAGGGCAGGCGCCATTACCGAGAAGGCCTTCTGCCTGGTTCCCTGTATGACTTTCCAACATTTAATATAACTCAAAGTATTCAAGGCTGCCCCTGCAGAAGAAAAAAAAAACACACTTCAGAAATGCATCATGCCCTCGGTTTTAGGTCAAGTTTACTGAGGGGATGAATTGCTTCCTGCAATGAAAAGTCCCAAAGTGATTTATAACCACCTCACAAAACCATGTAAACATATTTTAAAATGCAGTCAGATTAAAAGTGCCTGAGAGTTTGACCTGCTCAAATGCCTGGGGAAATAAGAACATCTTATGTGGTGTCAAAACAGTGGTAAAGTTGGCACCAGAAATGGAAGTTCTTGCAGAAAAGGCCTGCTCTCTCATTACCATCCTCCAGCCACCCCTTGGAGGTGGCCCATGGAGAGAGGACTCAGATGACAATCCCAGGGCGCAGGCCAGTTCACATGGGGGTGAAATATCTAATATTTTTGGCACTTTTGAGAAACAGTACATTCCTTTGTGTCCGTTGGTATGATATGTCCTTGTGCCAGATGCTGAGATACGGTATGTACAGGACTGGGCTGGTGGTGCTTGCAAATGATGGGTCACAGATGCTCCAAGCTTGACTCCAGGGGTGGTTGGTACCCACTGCGACTTGTGGCTTGGGAGGCAGGGACCAATGGTAGAGTCACCCTCTGATTGGTTGTAAGAAAGCAAGCGCAAGTGGGGACTAGCTGAAAGCAGGCTGACGTTGGTTGTCCGTGCCCCGTTCACTCCAATGCACCATCCTTTGTTCCCAAAGCCTGCAGAACCAGCTTGAGATGGACCACCAGCAGAGTGGACCTCTCTGTCCCCTGCCATTCACCTTTTCCCTCATCATGAAAACAAAAAAGGGGCTCTCACTTTAAGGAACGTGGAATCTTAGGAGCCTTTGTGACAGTTGCTGCGGTTTGCTAGGCATGAGTTTCAAACACCAGGAGTTCCATTCCATCAAGATGAAGGCATCCATCTAGTGGTGAATTTACATGGCTCTTGAGTGGGTTGGGGAGACTTCACACTGCATTGATCTAACTCTGTGGCCTGTATGACATGCCAACAAAGAGCAAGGGAGATTTCCCTCACCCTTTTGCTTCCTTAGGCTTTTTTTTTAATCCCCCCCGAGCCAAACCCACCTGCCAATCAGCTGATGGCATTCCAATGGGCAGGCAACAAGAGTTGATGAGTAGGGCATGCCAGGGTTCAATTCTGCGTTGGCTGCCTGCACCCGTTCTCCACTGGGAATGGGCATACACATAGGCAGAGCAGCAGGATTTGACCCACCTCCTCCTGGATGCTCCTTCACCCATGGGTTCCTTTTGGAGAGTGCACTGGCGAAGCAAAGTCCTGCAGGGAGCAGGATGGAAGTCTCCTCTCCTCGGCTGATGAGCAGGGACTCCAATCCTGCTGGGTGCTGCTCTGAAAGGCAGCAAAAGGGCTGTTTGAAAGCCCTTCTGCGCACAGTCCTGTATGGCTCTTTCAACCTTTGGTTTTGTGGAGGCTTAAAGAGCAGCTCAGGGCTGTTTGCCAAAGGCCTTCCAATTAGCCCAATGCTGCACTATATATAATTTTAGTAAAATTTCCAAACTTTTTCACAATAACCTTGTTTCATAAGTGGACTTCCCACCCCTGCCTACACAATGTTTTTACTCAAAACTTTTCTACTGCATTGTATCTTTATCTATTACAACAAATTCTCTATTACAATTCTTTTGCCATTTTTCTTCCGCTTTTATCTCAAATCCTGCCTGCAATTTCATTTGACTGTAACATTTTAAAATATAATCAATGAACGGCCTCCATTCTTCTATAAAAACTTCATCATTTTGATCTCTTAGTTTTGCTGCCTGCTTTGCCATTTCTGAATAGTCCATTACTTTCATAAGCCACTCCTTCGTTGGAACCTTCTCTTCTTTCCATTTCTGTGCACATAATATTCTAGCTACTGCTGCTGTCACATACATAAATAGTTTAGTCATCTTCTTTGGAACATCCGTGTCTATTATATATGTAAGAAACGTTTTGGGGGAATAGCCCATTTAAACATTTTCTTCATTTCATTATATATCATTTCCCCAGAAAGCTTTAGCTTGTTTTTTCACATGTCTACCACATAGGGACCCAATGCTGTACTTTCAAGTCTCACTAACAATCAGGAGAAACATCATCATCTAACATCATAGAGACATTACATTATAGACAGGTGGTGGCCTCAACCATCAGTCAATTTTAGCCTGCCAGGAGTGGGAGGAAAAGGATCTGGCCTGCCGGACAGGAAAGGTTCCTTTTTGTACTCCCATGAGAGAGTGTGGCCAACACCATCTAGAGAACAATTGGTTTCCCCATTCCTGTGGTAGTGCCTCAGGGTACCATATGATGCCAGTTTTTCTGATTGCTGGAATAAGGGTAAGAATGGCTCCAAGTACCTTGTGTGAACTGTGGGCTATCACCATCAAAGGCAGCCTCAGATTCTGTCAAGCGATGGCATGTGGTAGTATGAGTGATGTGTTACAATATAGAGGGCACCTTGGATTTTCAAGCAGCTGACTGTATGTTCCAGGAGCAGACCTCAATATGGCTTTCTCCACCATATTCCAACAGTTTCTTGGAGTGGAGCTCACCATTAGGAGGGGCATTCCCAGGGCTTTCATTTTCTCCTAGGGGCGAGAGCAGGAGCAATAGCTGTTGGCAGTCTGGTTATCATTCCTTTGCAGTACTGTGGACCTAGAAATCCAGGGCATGGTTGGTGGATAGGAAGGAGGAGAGAGAAATGGCGGCCACGATAAATTAAGAAATTGTGGAAAATATTATTGGAGAATAAATGAGGATGGGGTTGAGAAAAAGTCCTGAGAAATTGTGACTAGAGAAAATTTCGGAGAAGTTGAATGCTTGTATCAGAATCCTAGCAATTCTCATTGATTTCCTCCACCCATCTGCCCTAATCATTAACAAGGATTTATAAGGGAGCTGTGTGCAACTGCACTTTGAATAAAGCTTCCTTCTGGATGCCATTGCAGGCCCACTGAAGCATTGCAGAAGGAGTGTCTGTACTTGCTATACCGACCACAACCACCATCATGCAGACTCTTCTGAAAGTGAGCCTCTTTTTGGCACTGGTAACATCAGGTAAGGAGGCGCTGCAGGTAGATTAAAAAGGAAGGGGAGATACCAAGTGAGCATTTGCGGGGTGGGTGTTCCCAGTTCTCTCCACCATCCAAGGCAGTTGGGGTCTCCTGTCTTTGTGTGTGTGGATGGGAGTGTGGGATGATTCAGGCTGGGTTCCAGCTAGTGTGTGGTGGGTGAAGAATTGAGTTCTTAAAACAACTCTTAGAACAGGGCTTTGACTCTGACTCTCAATTAAAAGCAAATGAAGCAGAAGAGAAACATCTTCTGCAGCAGACATGGTCTTCATTCTATGACTTCTACTATTCACTGAGCAAGCATATAATGCAAAAGGAAGTAGGTTAAACATGATATTTTATTAGGCAGGCAATTGTGGAGACTGGGGGGTAAGAGAGCAAGGAAGGCACCAAGGTCCCATTTGCACTACATGTTTAAAGCACCATCATATTGGATCAAATAGTTGTGGCTTCCCCAAAGAACTCTGGGAACTGCTGTTTGTTAAGGGTGCAGAGAGTTCGTAGGAGAACACCCCCTCCCATTCCCCTCACAGAGCTACATTTTGTGGGGTAGTTTAACAACCAACCCCTCTTCCAAAGACCCCGTAAGAAAGTAAGTGAGCTAAAAATTGGCCACATCTTTAGTAGCTGCAACAGGGTGGCTAACACACAACCCCTGACTTTTTGCATCCCCAAATCCCCTCCCCCCAATTTTTATTTTTTAAATTAAAAAAATAGCTTGAAAAACCCTTATTGATCATTACTGTCGTTCCACTCCTGTGATGGCAAAAAGTTTTTCATTCCCCCCTCCAATTTTCCCTTTGAAAACATTTTTTTTAAAAACAAACAACTATCCTGACTGCTCCTGTATGTCCCTCACTGTGCTGTGATGCCAAAAGGTCCCCCCTGTCTCTGATTTGGGCTTCACCTAGAAGCAGCACCCATATGGAGTCCAGCAGTAGGAACTGGAAAACTCAGACTGCTCTGTTTGGGGCAATGGCCTCAACAGCACAGAGGCAGCGTTTCACAGCTACCTTGGACAGCTCCACGCAGGGCTCAGGCTGGAGAGTCTATTCAGGCGGCATCTTCAGACTGAGCATCAAATAAGAGCTGTAGCTCTAGCTTTACATTACTAGCTCTGCTTTCCAGGAGAGGAGCCTCTGCATTTAACGGGACCTAGCCTGCTTTAGCAGTCATAGACTGACAGAGCACACATGGCTGACAAGTGGACCAGATGGCCTTGCTGCCTTTCTGAACTCTTGCTCTCCAGTTCTTCTTCCACACCCAGTGACAAGTTAGCAAGGATTAATGCCTAATGACTGGATGAAACAAGCATTCATTATGTTTCGTTTCCCCCCCTCCCCTCATAGGTGCTTCTCTGGAGTGTGAAACCTGCTTTAGCAATGGAACCACTTGTGCAGGTGACAAGAAGACGTGTTTAGGCACTGAAGAGACCTGCATCGTCATCCTGACTGAAAGCACCGTAGGTGGGTGAGAGAGACCATAAGTCAGATCAGTGGCAAGGCCATGGATAACTATCCTATGTGTGGATGACACACTGGGCTTGGGAGCTCAGCACCAGTTGGGATGGGGTGGTGTTTTTGCCCTGCTTCATGTTACTTTCTGCAGTCACCCAAAGGAACAAGAAATGATGCCCTCAATTTGATTTGAACCAAAGTGGATCCATGAGTCATGGGATCTTGGAACCGTAGAATTGTAGAGTGGGAAGGTAGCGCCTCCCCTGGTTATCTTGTCCAACCCTCTGCAATAGAGGAATCACAGCTAAAGAATCCCTGACAATTGGCCATCCAACTGTTTAAAGAAACCTAATGAATGTGAATCCACCACTTCCCCAGGTAGTCCGTTCCACTGCTGAACAGCTCTTACCATCAGAAAGTTTTCCCTAATGTTTGGTCCTGCCCTCTGGAACAGCCAGCGAGAAACACGCTTGCCCCATCTTCAGTGTGATATTTGAAGATGGCTAACGAGTTTGATTAGTTTTTGCATTTTACTCTCCCCCATTTCTTCATTGTTTTTCAAATCTATTCCTTTATAAGAATACAGCGTGCTGCTAATTCATGACGGAGATATTGCTCACAACCCCAGTACATAAAAACATACGATAGAAACCATATGTAAAAGTTAAAAAATAATAATCGGATGACTATTGTGGAAATATGTACAGTGGTACCTCGGGTTAAGTACTTAATTCGTTCCGGAGGTCCGTTCTTAACCTGAAACTGTTCTTAACATAAAGCACCACTTTAGCTAATGGGGCCTCCTGCTGCCACCGTGCGATTTCTGTTCTCATCTTGAAGCAAAGTTCTTAACCTGAGGCACTATTTCTGGGTTAGCGGAGTCTGTAACCTGAAGCGTATGTAACCTGAAGCGTATGTATTCTTAATTGCCTGCTTAAGCCTGATGGAACAGAAATGTTTCCAGCGGACTTTGAAACAAAAGGTGCCCTGCTGAATTTCTGTTGGCAGAACATTCCATAGGACTGGACCAGCCATGCTCCTGCCTTGCTCCCACCCTAGGTCTTTGCAATATTCATCTTCAAGTCAAGCACACCATATTTGCTTATTTGTTTTTTAAAAAACCATACACTGCAAAGCTTTTTTACTAAAAGAATAAAACAATACAATTATTGGTAAAAACAAAACAACTGTTTAAGACATTCAAAAAAATTAAAAACAGCAATTAACTAAATAATAATAATAATAATAATAATAAACAGCAATCTGCATATCTGGGAAGGCTTGCTTAAACAAAAATGCTATTCAGCAGGTGTGGAAAAGAGTACAGTGAGTACAGCCACTTGCCTGATACTAATAAGCAGGGAATTCCAAAGGGTAGGGGGTGCCATACTAAAAGATCGGTTTCTTGCAAATGCAGTCCAGGCATTGTGTGGCATTTGTAACAGAGCCAGTTCCGCTGATCAAAGGGGTTGAGTGGGCACATGTGGAGCAAGGCAATCATAGAATCTTAGAGTTGGAAGGGACCCCAAGGGACATCTAGTCCAAGCCCCTGCAATGCAGGAATTTCAGCCAAAGCATCCATGACAGATGGCCACCCAAACTCTTCTTAAAAACCTCCAAGGAAGGAGAGTCCACCACCTCTTATGGGAGTCTGTTCCACTGCTGAGCAGCTCCTATTGTCAGGAAGTTTTTCCAAATGTTTAGTCGGAAACTCCTTTCTTGCAACTCGAGGCCATTGGTTCGAGTCCTACCATCCAGAGCAGGAGAAAACAAGCATACTCCCTCTTCCATGTGACCTCTCTTTCTTTTTTCCTTTCTCCTCCTGCGATGAGGCTACATTTTAATATTTTAATGTTTCAATATTCTAATGTATTTTAATTTTGTTTTTAAGTTGTAATCATTCAACTTGTTTTTATTATTGCTTGTTAGCTGCCCTGAGCCCGGCCTTGGCTGTGGAGGGCAGGGTATAAATAAAAATTATTATTATTATTATTATTATTAAACATACCCAGCTCCTTCAAGTGCTCCTCATAAGGCTTAGTTTCCAGACCCTCGATCGTCTTGGTCTCCCTCCGCTGCACACATTCCAGCTTGTCGACATCCTTCTTAAATTGTGGTGCCCAGAATAGGATCAGTATTCCAGGTGTGGTCTGACCAAGGCAGAACAGAGCGCTACTATTACTTCCCTTGATCTGGACCAGGGGTCAGCAAACTTTTTCAGCAACGGGCCAGTCCACTGTCCCTCAGACCTTGTGGGGGGCTGGACTATATTTTGAAAGAAAAAATGAAGAAATTTCTGTGTCCCAGAGATGCATTTTAAATAAAAGCACACATTCTACTCATGTAAAAACACTCTGATTCCCAGACGATCCGTGGGCCGGATTTAGAAGGCGATTGGGCTGGATCCGGCCCCCGGGCCTTAGTTTGCCTACCCATGATGGACACTATACTTCTGTTGATGTGGGCAAACTGGTCTCAAGTAGCCAAGGCCTTTGTACACTAATACCTTGTACACCAATACCTTCAACACCTTGAACCTGGCCTGGTAGCAAATCAGCAACTGGCATAGATCTCCGAGCCCAGCTGTCATATACAGACAATGGTGAACCTTTTTCCTGGTGACTAAATAAACCTCTTTGTCTCTCCTTTCCCTGCCCTCCTGCTTAGATGGACCATCAGTGACAAAAATAGAGAAAAGGTGTTCAACCATATCTCAGTGCTCCATGCCTCCGTTTTACTTCACTTTGGGGGCTGGAAGAAGAGTACGCCAAAGCTGGGTCTGCTGCATTGACGACTGCGATAAAGTTGTACCCGTCTGTAGGTATACAGTGGTATTCCCACTTCCTGTTTCCCTTCCTTCACGGTTTCCTTCCATTCACCTTCCAGAGCCCACTTCCTTCTTCCATAGCTTCATGCAGTATGGCACCTGCATATTGCCATCTGCAAACTGTAATTGGGCTCCTCCTTGCTTACCTTTGGCCCTGAGCATTCTAGGCACAGCCCCACAGTTTAAAGCTCTGTGTCCGGGCCTGTACCCAGAAATGTGGCACAAAAGGAAGTCTGGATGAACCCTGCATTTCTAAAAGCCAGCTGCCCTGAACCCCTGGCCTACCCGGAGGCAAGTCAGTATGTCAAGTCTGAAGTCCAAAGTCTGAGGCTCAAGCCGCACAACCAAAGTTCAAAGGTCAGGAAATGCAGTCCAGGGCCCATCCAAGTAGCTAAGTCTGAAGTCCAGCAGTCAGGATACAGTCAGCAAGGGTCAAACCCAAAGCGCACTCACATAGTGTGCCAAGGGGTATCCAAGCCAAGGTCCATCGACATGGGCAGCTGAACAGGCACAGCACCTCAGCTCTGCTTCCCTTTTGGAATTTGCATGCTGACTGCAGCATCTGGGCTTGACAAGGCACGTGGCCTCACCTGTTCCTATTCCAACTGAGGAATCACATCCTCCAGAGCTAGCAAGCCCCATCTGGCCAGCTAGGGGGTCGGGCTGTGGGCCCTTGCCTGCCTCAGCCTCCTAGAGTGCCCCTCCTACTGCTCCCTATGCCTTGGAGCCTGCCATGTTTGTGGGGACAGGTGCTCCTCAGGCTCTGGTGATGGGTCCTGCTGTTCTGGTTCCTGTGCATTGACTCCATGCCCTCGCCATCCTCGGTCACCCTGTGAGTACTTCCTTCTCCATTCCCTGCTTGCCCTGGTGTGTCCCAAGTTACACCCCTCACTGGGATCCTCTTCCTCCTCTTCCTCCTCCCTGTGGTCCTGCCAGTTCATGCTGGTGTCCTCCTGATATTGTATGACTACGAGTCCCCTCATCCTTGACTGTTGGCCATGCTAGGCTGGTGTGTTTGCGTTTCTCTGTGTTAAATCCTGTTGCTTTGACTCTGAGTGGCTATTCCCCGCTGTGAACAGGCACTTGCAGCCAAGGCAGAATAGAACCCTGCCCTTTCTCCCACCAGCTGGAAAATTATGCCAACTGATTGGGAGGTGGGCATGGCTTGGAGGAAATAGCCAAATTGGAACCCCTGGCTGGCCAGTATTGGGTTCCCCACCCCTGACGTCGGCACTAGAAAACATTTTGGAACAAGACGGGATTGTGCAAAAGGCATGGGCGCCACTTGAGCTAGGATGGGATTAAGACTGAAAAACATGAGACTTCCGGGTTAGCACCTCCTGTAATGGCTGAATTCCTCTGATCGGGAGGAATTTGCTTCGTGGAAATTAGGGTCTGGCCGCCACGGCGAAGGCGGGGACCCACAAAAAATCACAGGCGGGAGAAGCCTGTGAACGTGGGATTTGGCTGGCACCTTTTGCGCCTCCCCTGCTTGTGGGGAAACCCGGTTTCGGGGATCCGGAGCGACGTGGGGTGAGTGGCGCGGTGCTTCAAATTGACTGCTTCTTTCACGGAGTGAAGCCGCATTGCTGTTGCCGGAGAGCGCTGACTTTTTCCTGTGGACAATTTGATCTTAAAACAACTACCCGTGAGTAGAACGGAAAATTGGATTTTTAAACGTCTTAATTTGGCACCGAAACGGGGAGGTTTCAAACAGGAAGTCCGCCTTCCCCTTTTGTAAATAGACTGAAGCAAAGAGGCTGCAAGCTAAAGTCTTGGAAAGCTTTTGATAAAGGATTAAACTTCCATCGGCTAAAATCATCAAACCCCCCTTGGAAGCAGGAGAAGAGGGGGGGAATTTTAGACCGCGTAAGCCTGCAGGAGAGAGTGAAGAAAGTCAAATTACCACCGCTCTGAACCTGGAAACGGGCTGCTAGTAAGACTGAAGTTTTGGATATGCTCATTGACTGTGAATAGATCGTTTGTTGACAGTAAGTTAAAGAAGAGAAATACATTGTTTCCATTGTCTCCTTCTGCGTTTAAAAAGGAGTAAAAGTAATTGAAAATTGAAACTAACTTTATTGCTTGAACTGTGCTTAAAAGGATTGATACAAATAGAAATTGTTTCCCCCTAGAGGAAGCCTTTGAAATTGTTACATGAGCTGAGCTGGGGGAATTTCCAGCTGCAAGATAAGACTGTGAGAATCTGGGATTGACCTTGGACCGTTAAGAATGTTGACAGAAGAAGCCTTAGTGGTTGCATTATGTAAGATTAATGACTCACTGGAACAGCTCCATAAGAAGACGGATGTGATGATTATAAAAATTGATAACTTGGAACAAAAAGTGACTAATTTGGGACAAAAGGTGAATATTAATACAGAAGCTATTCAGGAATCGATACAGGGACCTACTTTGACATGGCAAATTGAGGAGAAGGCGGGGGAGAAAGTTGTTGTTGTGGAACCTAAAGTAGTACAAGTGGAGAGGGAGAGAGCCCCAGCCTCACAGATGCAATTTGATGACTATAAGTTGATGCCTTTTATGACTGAATTTAGAGAAAGTCAGACTTTGAGGATTGGAGCCCCGCTTGGACTGGAGAAGGAAAGTTGGATAGATCCCTTCATGCAGGGATTTATTGACCTTTGGGACCTGGATTTGGGTCAGGAGGAGACTGGAGTTGTGGGGACCGTCAGACTTGGAGGAACTTTGAAATACGACTGGAAATATCTTTTGAATTTTAGTTTTAACTATGGAGATTTGGCTGACTTGTCGAGAAGGAATAAAAACATTGCTAGGTGGGAATTTTCCCGAGATCTACTTCTCAGCATCAAAGGAAGGAAAATAAGAACAAGATCAGGAGAAGACAAAGTAAAGTGCATGTATAAATATGAAGAAGACCTGCAGAAGGGACTTGGAAAAGAGTTAAGAGCCTCGGACAGAAGATCACCAGGTTGATGGACTGTATGGAATTGACGGAAATGACTGGCAGAATCCGAGACCAGGGAGAAGAGACGGTGGAAGAATATTGGAAAAAGTTTAAAATCCGTATATGGAAATAATGTAAAATTAATGAGTGTTAGAAAAATGTTGGAAGGGAATTATACAGCTTTAGTAAAAATGTTTTAAGGAATTAAGCATAAATAAGTATTATAGTATTAATGGAAAATAAGGTTAAAATATGTTAAGATAATCATATGACAGAAAATAGAGAAAGATGGAAAGGATTTGCTGAAATAATTAATAGAAATGGAATACAAAAAGGGAGGTGAGAGGAGGTCGATGAAACAAGGGAATGAAAGAGAGGATATTGAGATGGTATGATGTGTGTTTTTTGAACTGTTTTTGCTTTTGTTTTGTTTAATGTGTTAATGTTGTCTTGTGTATTGTTTATATATTGTACTGTATTGTTTTTTCTTTTGCCTTTTCTTCTTTTTTCTTCTTTTTTCTTTTTTCTTTTCTTTTCTCCTTTTTGTAAGGTTTAAAAGTAATAAATATTATTTAAAAAAAAAGACTGAAAAACATGGCAGAGCACCTTGTACAAAGTGGTCAAGGGCGCCAACTCTAGGGGGTGGAAGGAACTTTGCCCCCCCTCAATATTTGTGGGCAGGGGGCTGAACTCTCCACCCCAATATTGAAGGCTCCCCCAAACAGAATGGCCTCCTTCCTGCAAACATGCCCTCTGCACTCCCCATCCCCCTCTGTCGATGGGCGAGCAATCGTGTGCCAAGGCAGGAGCAGGGCGATCTTTACTCTCCATGCTTTCCAGCTCCTGCCACCAACAGGGTGCAAAGGAGATCTCTGTGGGGGGCATCTGGTTTGCACCCCCCAGATTGCATGCCCGGGCAACGGCTCCCAACCACATGCATGATGTCGTTCATATGTTGCCAAGTGACACCGGGGCCCCTCAATGTGGGGGGCAAGTTGGCGCCCCTGAAAGTGGTTGTGAGCATAAAACCTTTGTCTGTGTATTACCTCCTCCTCTGATGAGATGACGGACAAATGCTTCTCCCCCCCCCCATGCCCTCTTCTTTCAGTGATACCAGTACAGACTCGATCCAACGGAGTAATGTGTCCTGCCTGCCATGAATGGAAGGAGTCATGCAAGACAGAGATGGCCAATTGCACTGGAATGGAAACGAGCTGCTTTAAGATAACCTCACATGTAGATACCAGTAAGTGGTTTCCTATGCAGTCATTCTGCTTCTCCTCTATCTGGTAGGTGGGATGGGTTTCATGGCAGGGGCATTTTGCTGGGTAGACAGAGCAAAACCTGGATGGCTCCGGCTGGCTTATCTGAATGATTGCCTCATTACTACTACTACTACTACTACTACTACTGTTAGTATTACAGTCACAAGCAGTAACTATTTTATTTGCCTAGCTATAAACCATAGCAAAGGGGGGGAAAGACATCCAGTGCCGAGCCACTGGTTTTACTGGTATGCTTTTTCATACTTATACCCCAGCTTTCCTTGAAAGAGCTCAAGGTGGCAAACAATTCCCCTCTCCCCATTTCATTATCACAACAGGCTTCTGAGGGAGGACAGGGCGAGAGACAGCAACTGGCTTAATCACCAAGCACGTTTTCACAGCTGAGTTGGGACTTTAACCCAGCTTTCCCAGGTCCTAACCTGGCTCACTAACCTCTGCACCGAATGTACTCCCTTTATAAATCTGTCTGGGCTGTGCAGATCTTTTCCAGAGGTCCTTATCCACCCACACCTGCAAGATGTGGTGGCTGATATCTGAGAGGAGGCTCGGATGACATCAGTGTTCAGATCTTTTGGTTGTGACCTGACAACCTTTTCATTCTCCCAGTCCTTTGAGCATCTCTTAGTCCTTGGGGCAAATTCTTTTAGCCAGTGTGGTGTAGTGGTTAAGAGCAGTAGACTCGTAATTTGGGGAACCGGGTTTGCATCTCCGCTCCTCCACGTGCAGCTGCTGGGTGACCTTGGGCCAGTCACACTTCTCTGTAGTCTCTCAGCCTTACTCACCTCACAGAGTGTTTGTTGTGGGGGAGGAAGGGAAAGGAGAATGTTAGCCGCTTTGAGACTCCTTTGGGTAGTGATAAAGCGGGATATCAAATCCAAACTCTTCTTCTTCTTCTTAGCTGTTTTTTTTTTAAATGCAGTTTTAGAATGCATCTATGCTGCTGGTGCTGGTTTTTATGTGGATTACTTTTAACACACTGTATTGCTTTGTCGTGTCCCCTCCTCCCCAAAAAACATGTTATATATATTTGGTTTTTTAAAAAAAATTATTGCAAACCATCCAGAGGATGTAGCTCTGGATACATGTCATTAACAAATAATTTCCAGAGTAGCCCCTGTGTTTGTCTTTTGCATTTAAACCCATAAAGAAACTTACAGAGTGTTTGAAGACTTGTGTATTTATTATCATACAAGCTTTCATGAACTGCAGCCCACTAAGGTTGCTACTGTTAAATACATATTTATCGCTGCTGCCTATTCTCTTCTGCCATAGTAGGAGCCAAATCCTAGGGGCAGAAGTCCCTTTGGTTGTCCCAATAAAATATCCGAGGTGTCATTTAAATGGTGCAAGTGTGCCACAACTTGTGATTGTTGCGTGGGGTGGGACTGTAGTTTCTTAAAGAGTTGTTTGGATGCTGCTATTCCCCTCACAGAACTACAGTCCCCAGAGTGGTTTAGCAATCCATCTCCCTTCGCAGGGAACTCCCGGCATTGTAGCCCCTTGGAGGGGAAACAGGGATTCCCTAACACCTCTCAGCCCTCTTCAGAAACTACAGCTCCCAGACTTCTTTGGGAGGGGGGCTGTTTAAAGTGGTATCACAGGGCTTTAAATGTATGGCGGGAATGTGGTCTAGTTGGAAGCAACACTTCATTTTCACAAGAGCTCTGGAAAGATCGGCCTGCCTGAGCGCCACTCCTCTGTGTCCAACTGGACTTTGAGTAAAAGGGAACCCTTCCTCTCAAGCAGCCTGGGCAGAGTGGTTTGGGATACAGAGGCAAGCGGCAATGGTTCCCCTAGCAACCCATCTTGTCTCCCACGTGCAGATGGAACCCACGTTGACCGGACCATGATGGGCTGCACTACAAAGTACACCTGTGCGGCAATAGAAGGCGAAGCCACAAATTTCCGTCCCATGTCGTCTGAAGCTATCCAGGTGGCTGAATGCACACATTCTATGGGATCTCGATCCTCCGGCCTCCTCCTGCCAATCTTTTCTGGGCTCCTGCTGCTGAAGATCATCTCGTGAAAGGGACCTGCATGGGATTCCATCTCCTCTGCATTCATTTATGCCTGTCTTTTATCCACTCACCACTTTCTCTGAATGCAGTTTAGCCTTTCCAGGAGGAATTCTCTGTTTTCCTCAGTGAAAATAAACACCAGGAGTAACAAAAGTGACATGTGGTCATGTTGTATTATTATTAACAAGAACACATAAACATTTTCTTCTAACTCTAACTCAAAAGGTCCACAAACCACAGCAGAATAAGACAGCAGACAAGGCAACCCAAACTTTCACAAAGGTGCAGAAATCGCAGTTAAGATCCGTACTTAAGAGTGAATGCATAAAATCAATGCATGTCCTTGCAGTCTAACCTAGAGGTTGCCAGAGCATAGGCAGAAATTATGGGCTCTAATTCTCAGTGGGTCCTGGTAAGGCTGGGAAAAGCTCTTCTCTGAAACCATGAAAAGCCACTAGATGGAGTGGTAGCGTAAAATCCAGTGCTATTTAAAGCGCTTTAAAAGGCCATTCTCAGTCCAGCAAAGCTCAGTTACCCAGAAACCTTTTTCCAATTCACGGAGAGCTCCACTTGCCAACGAGCCGCCCCACGTAATGCACCTTAATGGATGCTGCTGCAGTGACTCATCCCTCAGCAATGCTTTCCTGGGACTGAGTTTCATTATCGTTGTTTTGTTGAATAAAAGTAATGGATTTCAGGAGGAAAGCGAGAAGAAACTCAGAGCCCGCACATGAATCGATCAATATTGCTGTTATGAGGGCGCGGGGCGGTTTGGTGCCGCAATTAGGGACCAGTGAAATCTGCCAGTTTTAGTCTGCCTCAAGTTCTCATTTTTTCCAGTCTTTAATATTTCCACATCAATTTTCATTTTAAAAAAAGAAGAAGCCATCATGGAGACAGGCCAGATTGATGCGGAATTGTAGCAAAATGAATTTAAAGGCGGGCTGGTCCCAGTTTAAAGTGCCGATGGTGACCCTTATAAAGCCCTAAATTTTTTGGAACCAGGGTAGTTGAAGTACCAACTTTGGAGTACCAATTCCATCTGTATTGCAGCAGCCCCTAAGCTGTGGAACCTGTTCCCCACAGTGGCATAGGGCTTTCAGCTGTGGTCTAAACCACTGAGCCTCTTGGGCTTGCCGATTGGAAGGTTGGCGGTTCGAATCCTCATCATGTAGTGAGCTCCCGTTGCTCTGTCCCAGCTTCTGCCAACCTAGCAGTTTGAAAGCATGCAATGCAAGTAGATAAATAGGTACTGCTGTGGCGAGAAGGTAAACGGTGTTTCCATGTGCTCTGGCTTCCGCCACAGTGTCCCATTGCGCCAGAAGCGGTCTTGTCATTCTGGCCACAGGACCCAGAAAGCTGTCTGGACAAACGCCAGCTCCCTCGGCCTGAAAGCGAGATGAGCGCCACAACCCCATAGTCACCTTTGACTGGACTTAACTGTCCAGGGGTCCTTTGCCTTTTTACACACACATACACATACACACACACACACACACACACACACACAGACACACACCAGAATAGTGCCCCAAATTTCATTGCTCTTATCCCACGATTCTCTGAGTTAATAGGACTGCAAATGGATTTTTTTTCTTCCTGGAAGAAATTAGCCTGGAAATGAGTACTAAATTTCTACTCTATTAGATTTCTGATAGTGACTTTTATCCCGTGCAAAAGCTCAAACATAACACATAAATTACAACAGCTAAGAAAAGTCAGGGGTGCAGAACAAACTGCCTTGTGAATGCAGCTCTTGTCTCATGGCTGAATATGTTTTTTTAATAAATAAATAAATAAAAAAGCATGATTAACACTGGCTACTTTTTGCCTCCTCCCCTCCAGCGACTACCACCACCACCACCACCACAGGCATTCAGTCCCTGATCTGGACCACAGTGAATGGGCGCAGCTAACACATGCACTAGGAATCCCCTCCTGATATCCCTACTGAAGGGATAGGGAACTTGTGGCACTACAGATGTTGTTTGACTCCCATTAGCCTCGGTCAGCAGGTTCAGTGGTCGTGGATGATGGGAGCAAGAACCCAATGGCAGCCGGAGTGTCACAGGTTTCCCAAAGCTGCTGTGCCTGTAGCCCTCAAAAGAGGAGAGGGAGAACAAAAGTGAACCACACAGGCTCTGGGGATAGCTCAGTTGGCAGCGCATGGGACTCTTAATCTCAGGGTTGTGGGTTCGAGCTCCACGTTGGGTAAAAGATTCTTGCATCGCAGGGGGTTGGACTAGATGACACTCATAGCCCCTTCCAACTCTACAACTCTATGATTAAATCATCCTTTCACCTACTCCAGCTCCAGCCAAAGCATCTTGAAATTACTCTTAGTTCCGTTTTTAAAGGATTTCATTTAAGGTTCCTGTTTTCTCTTAGAGCATTGCTGCATACTTTTTCTAGTAAGAGAATTGCTCCACTGCAGAAAGAGAGACTGTTGGGTAAGAGAGGGAGATAATGTCTTCAAAATTTTTTTTTGCAATAGCATTCATAGGGTGCACCATTCATCATCATGCTGGCTCTTATGAGACTCTTCTTCTTCTCCTCTGTGCTTCTAGTGACAGGTAAACTCAAAACTATCTTGGGATTTGGGTTGTTCTGCTATGAACAGTTCAGCAGAAGCAGATCCAAGCTAGCATCGTACAGGGAGGCTTTTCGATGCAAATAATTAAAGCATATTCTCCAAGATGGCTGAAGGATGCCATTCCTAGCAACATTTAAATTTGTTAGCAATGGTTCTTCTTAATTTTTTTCCAGACAATTTTAATAAGGCTGTGCAAGGCACCCCCAATTTGCCAGCCCAAGATGTTTCTTGGGCTGGCCCAATATGTTTTGACACTTGAGGAAAACCACAAAATGGCGTCCCCCCCAGAGAAGAAGGGTGAGGGAAGAAGATCTACATCAGAAGGGTGGAATAAAGATCTGCACTGCGATCTGCTGTCCCTTTGAATCCTGCAGCCTGAGCCAGTCATTTCACCTTGCCTCCTGGGTGGGCTGGCCCTGGATTCCCCCTATTTTGATAGCTCTGGGATATTCCAGGTGGATGTTGTGTCCGGGATGGAATCAGCCCAAATTATCCTGATTTGGTTCAGGGATCTGGGATTTGTCTGGACTAAATGCGGTGCTAGTTTTCAGAATTTTAAAATTTGTCATTTGTGTTTTTTTAAAAAATATAAAAAATATGTTTGACACCCTCGGCTCCTTGGGGAGGAAGGATGAGAGATAGATTTAAATAAGAACCTACAAGGAGGAGAATATCTGCTTGCTTAAGGCAAATGCAGAACCGGAAGGTACCTAGTCAACCTGTCTTGTGCAAGAGAACTTCCTGCCCTGCAATTGTCCATGTTGTGAAGACCGTTCAAAGTAAGCTCAGGGGCTGAGCTCTAATGCCAGTGTTGCCCTGGAGGCTGGCAACGTTTTCTCTCTGCTCCCTTGTTGCTAAGCCAGCTACATTTATCAGGCCACACATCTGGTCTTGGATGTGGTGCCTAATATAGAAAGATCCCAATGAAAAAAGCAAAGAGAAGGCTGTGTTAGCCGCCCTGAGCCCGGCTTCGGCTGGGGAGGGTGGGATATAAATAAAATTTGATTATGATTATGATTATGATTATGATTATGTGTGTGTTTCCTACTGCCTGGCCTTAATGCCAAGGCTCTACAGCCCTATCTGTATAGTCATACCTCGGGTTGAATATGCTTCATGTTGAGCGCGTTCGAGTTGCACTCCGCGGCAACCCAGAAGTAATGGAGTACGTTACTTCCAGGTTTCGCCACTCACGCATGCGCAGACGCTCAAAATGATGTCACTCGCTTGCGCAGAAGCGGCGAAAAGCGACGCGCGCATGCGCAGACGTGCCGTCGCTAGTTATGTTTGCTTCTGGATGCGAATGGGGCTCCGGAATGGATCCCATTCGTATCCAGAGGTACCACTGTACATTTGTTCCTCCAAGTGATGTTTTAAACCCCTAATTAAATATTATCTCTGCCACCTCATTTAAAAAAAACGAAACCAAATTGACCAGGGAAATTCACTGACCTGAAATGATGGCTAGAGGAGGTAGGAGTCAAGGGTGGGGGTGCACATTTTGCTTTGACGGACAGCTGTCAGTTTTAATGGCAGTTAGTATTTCCCGAGAGCACTCCAGCCATGGATATTTAGGGAGAGATTTTGGCATCTTTCCCAATGGCTTGCTGTTTCCCGGTGAACCATTTAAGATCAATACTTAAGTCAATTTTATTTCATTATCATGATGAAGTTCTTTGCACTTCGAAATGTTGACTTGCTGAGCTGAGCCAAAAAGGTCTCACCAGATTCTGCATACTATATAAGTGTGGTGATATTGTATTTTGTGGAGGGGGGGGGAGTTGCCCAGTTTTGAGTCACCTCATGATGAACAATGTTCATGTTAGTGGATGAAGGAAGCAATAGGCTCAGGAAAGGAGAGCTAGTAGCTGTCAGCGGCCCAAACTATTGTATACCTGCAAAGTGCTCCATAAAAAAGGGACATCCTGTTTTTTCACACGAGATTAAAGGTAAAGGTAAAGGTAATGGGACCCCTGACCATTAGGTCCAGTTGTGGCCGACTCTGGGGTTGCGGCACTCATCTCGCTTTATTGGCCAAGGCAGCCGGCATACAGCTTCTGGGTCATGTGGCCAGCATGACTAAGCCACTTCTGGCGAACCAGAGCAGCACACGGAAACGGCGTTTACCTTCCCGCCGGAGCGGTACTTATTTATCTACTTGCACTTTGACGTGTTTTCGAACTGCTAGATTGGCAGGAGCAGGGACCAAGCAACGGGAGCTCACCCCATCGTGGGGATTCGAACCGCTGACCTTCCGATCGGCAAGTCCTAGGTTCTGTGGTTTAACCCACAGTGCCACCCGCGTCACACAAGATTATGGCAGCTATTTGGGGTATCACGATCTTGTGTGCTATCACCCTGAAAAAGTACTGGGGGCGGCGGTGAGTGAAGCACAGGTCACGTGACTCACCCAGGAGCGCATCAAATAAACGTGATTTCATTTTTTTAAATGTTCAAAAAAATCTAAAACAGTATTAAAAGCAATTCTGCTGTTGTGCCCCAGGTTCACAGGTGACATCATTGGAGAAGCCATTCTCCAGGAGAGGACTAAAATTCACCAACCATTCATGAGAATGCCAAAAGGCGGGCAGGGGAGAAAAGAAAATAATAACCCATCCCTTTAATTCTTTTCTTAAAAACATCAGATCAACCCTACAAAATGCATATTGAAATTACAAGTTACCAGTAATGCAGAAATAGAATGGAATTTTGGCTTAAAGCATGTAATAGTCATGAATCAGAAATAGATTTGTTCCCCTCTAGGTGAAATCCCATAAAATCCCACAGGAGAGCCTCAATAACAGTTCCTATGAGGCCTTCATTGCTCTGCATAGTTCATTGCTCTTCTCAATAAAGAGCCATGTCAAAAAAGTACTCAAAACAGTACTGGAACTTTCATTAGTAAATTAAAGTATACAAAGGAATGGTGCAAATGTGCCAAATGTATTTCGTTTACTGCATACGAATAGCCCGTTACTGAATTTTGTTTTGGTTTCAGCATAGAATCTACTGAGCCCTGGGTTCTGCAAAAACAGCCACAAGTGGCACACAGGTGAATTTCAAGCGGCATTTGCCTACTTTCCCATCTCCTTTCCCCTTGTGAAACCTTTTTTCTCCCTTCCTCCAGAGGCCTTTCCTGTTTTGCAATGTGAGACTTGCGATGCCACCGGCATCAGCTGCACCGGAAAGAAGGAGACATGCAGGGCTGATCAACACCTCTGTTTTGTCCTTTCAAGGAATGCGACAATAGGTGGGTAAGAGAGATCATCAGCCAGTCCAGGATGGCAAACAGGTCAAAGTTTCGTATGAGCTGTGTGCCCAGAGCAGGGAGGGGCCAAGAGATCAACTTATAGGAGGAACTGCATATGGTACTGGGAGCAGTGACTCCTCCTCTCACCTTTACCCTTTGTTTTTCATGTGCAGGAGGGAACATTGTGCATTTCATTCGTAAGGGCTGCACCGCCAGCTGTCAGCTTCCAAAGGACACTATACCTCAGGCTAGCAGTGTAGATTCGAGGATTAACTGCAACAACAAGGCTGCTCCTTCTTCTGGGTCTTTCATCTTGGCTACTTTTGGATTTCTGCTGATCAAAGTTCTCTTGTAAATAAGCCTTCATCGTGATTTAGCAGTGAATAAAGGCCTCCTTGTTGTTTTCCTGTGACCTTCTCTGGGTCCATTTTCCCTCACCTGTCTATATTGACACTGTGATGATTTTGCTGCCCATTGATGCTGTGGTTTTGGTGCTGTTTTGTTGAGTTGTTTGACTTTCACTGTGATACATTGCTCTTTTCTCTCATTTTGTTCCATCCGTCATGCTTTTAAATTCTGAAACAATGGGAGAACTGAAACACAGCTATCCAAAATTCATGTTTCCCTGAATTTTGAAATGTGGTGTGTACATGTGGATAAAAATGCATATGCCATGGTAAAGTGTGCATAAGAATGCACCTGTTAAGGGAAGATCATGTGCAGAAATGCATTATATCAGGGGAAATGGGTTTTGCAAAAATGTTCACTCAGGAGCATCTACTAGGCCTAAAAATTTCACCCGTCCGCCTATCTATCTATCTATCATCTATCTATCTATCTATCTGTCTAAGGTATGGACACATCAACCTCAATTATGGTGAACAAGGGTGTATAAAGCTCAATTTTTCAAAACTGGGATTTGTGGCTAGTTCTCATGCCTAATTTAAATGCACAAACAAATATGATTTTTTTTGGGTACTGATTAATTTTTAAAAGTCAGATTAATATGGAAACAGGGTGGAACAGACTTATGAATGAAGTCATGCAAAACTGACATGGGAGAAAAACCAATCCATCTCAACAAATGCTGTATGAAGCTGCGGTTTGAGGGACTGATGGTGTTACCATAAATCAGGGATGGAGAACCTGTGGTCCTCCCAATGTAGTTGGACTTCAGCTCCCATCAGTCCTGGCCAGTATTGCCAATGGTCAGGAATGAGTTTTAGTCTAGCTGTGTCTGGAGGGCTACAGATTCCTCCCTGTTGCTGTAAATGCTTTGGAAATGGCACAGACTAGATTGCTCTGCAAATTATATTCTTTTCCATTTGGAATCCCTCCAGCTTTTATTGCATTCAGAGACTGAATAACCTTCAATTAAGAGAAGAGTACACTGTGCTCAGTTGAAGTACATTAACAGAACTGCTATCCTGCCAAATCAGTGCTTATTGAAAATGTGCTATAATATAAGGATAAGGATGAGCACTGGAAGACAGATCAAAACTGTATTTGGTGGGGAGGGTGGGGAGAAGCAATGAAAATATTGGTTGCTCTGGAGGGGTTTGAACTTGACAATGTTCTTTAAATTTCCCTGTAGGTTCTACTTATTGGTTTCATTAAGCAATGTGTTAATTGAATTACATGCTCAAGTTCTGCCAGCTGCAATTCTGGATGCATGTTGCAAAAAGCCTCGAGGGGCAAAGATCCACCACCTTTCCCCTCACTCAGTCAGGAATGGGGAGTAGGCTGGGTCCCTTCACGACCCCATGTGATAGACCTCAAGCAGTAGGTGAGAAAAAGTCCACCTTGCCCCATATATTCCTGCTTGGCATCTGTAATACCCAATAGGAGCACTGCTGCTGTGTTACCTTCTCCTCCACCCTGGTTAAACTGATTTCCTTCATGAACAGAAGTTTTATAAACTGGGGATTTCAGACTGAAATCCGCAGGTGTCAGAAAAGGTTATTTATGTATGCAACAACTGCGGCCCATGTTTAGTTAGCCCAAAAATGGAAAGTGAGCGAGGTCCCAACTAAAGAAGATTGGCAACTTAAGTTGACAAAATATGCACAACTTGCAGACTTCACATATAGAATAAGAGAGCAAACATATGTTTAAAGAAGACTGGAAAACATTTTTTGAGTCTATGGAAAATAACTGTGTGCAGCTGAAAATGCTGGCAGCATTAAGATAAATTCAACAGTGTCAGTAATCTTTGATGGATGTAATAATGGAAAACCAATTGGAATAGTTTTTGTGAAATATGCAGGGAATGTAAGATATGCAAAATGAACCATGGAAAGAGAAGTCATTGATATCTTAAGGACATAAAATGTTAATTTGAAATTGTAAAACAGAAAATCTAATGAAAATTATGTATATAAGGAGTTTTATAAATTGATTTCTTGGGTATGCATATAGTGGGCATTGCATTAAGTAATGCCATATGTCTTCTCATTTTCATCTTAACACACATCCCTTTGACTTTATGCACTTGCTAATAAAAACAATTAGTAAATATAAATAATGAAAAAAATAAATAGACAGGCTTCTTGCCTAAACTCACTGTACTCATGGATACTCCATTACACAAGAACATCCTTCATTTGGTTGGTTGGTTTCACAATTTTTGCTCTAGCTGACATCTGTCAGTTTTGTCAGTTCTCTCTTATCTTGTACAAAGACATTTCCCCACAACAGTCCTTCTATCTCTGGTTGATTATCAGGTCATTTTGCCTTATCATGCATCCTCACTCTCTTGGCTCAAACCTATTATCTCTGCTCTCAATGCACACTAAGATAGTGTTGCACACTGCCCCAACCTCAAAGTGATGTGAGATCCCAGGAGTTCCAGGCATTTACCCAGGATTTGGTTTCCTTGAAATGAGGGAAACAGAGGTACACAGAGACATGTCTGTTCTGTGCTGGGTTCAAAAGCTGAGTTTGGTGCTTCCCTGGGAACTTAACGGGGAGGACTGTTAATGCTGTGAGCCCCTCCATCCTACGCTTATGTTATGAGTTTGGGAGTGCCAGACCCGACCCCCAAATTCTTGCATCCAGTAGTTCTAATTTAATCAATTCTTGAAATCTTAACCTGAGTGCCATACAGGGATTTTTGTGCGTGTTAAAATATAAGGCAGACCAACTTCCTGTGTTCAGGAAATCGCCTGGGAGAAGGGCCATTAAGTGATCAAAAGGAAGGTAATGGGTCATTAACAAAGTAAAGACTTGGTGCCAGACAGCAGATGGGTGTGAGCCTCTCCTTCAACTGAAAGTAAGTCAGCCAGAAGGCAATGCCAGAGTTTTGAGGGTTGGGTTTGCAGTGGTGGTTATATGACTTAGGGGAAGAAGGTTGCAGTTGGTAAAATGCGGCAAGCCAGTGAGGGAGAGAGAACGACGGCGGATTTCTTTTTGGTTCCAAGGCTGCAGCAATTGGAGAAACAGGAACTTTTTGGAGTGTTTAATGCTGCGAGCCTCCCAGTCACAGGCTCAGGTTGTATATATGCATGAACAAAGCATATATTAGAAAGACACCACAGTCTCTGTTGTGCCTCATTCCCAAAAGGAAACACGAACTCTAGGCAAGTGCGTGGGACCCCTGGAATCTTGCACCACTCGGAGATTGGAGTGGCATGTAACACACGTTATCTATACAGTGGTACCTCGGGTTAAGTACTTAATTCGTTCCTGAGGTCTGTTCTTAACCTGAAGCACCACTTTAGCTAATGGGGCCTCCTGCTGCTGCTGCACCGCCGGAGCATGATTTCTGTTCTCATCCTGAAGCAAAGTTCTTAACCCAAGGTACTATTTCTGGGTTAGTGGAGTCTGTAACCTGAAGCGTATGTAACCTGAAGCGTATGTAACCCGAGGTACCACTGTATGTGTGAATAGAACCATATATCCTCAAGATACCACAATCTCTATTCATCTTCATTCCAAGGAAAGCAGACAGCTGGGTAAGCACCGCCCCGCCCCGGAGCCTCTCAGACCTCATAGACTGGTGTGCATGCAACAATTTTCTCTCTCTGCAAGACACAGCCAATAAAGGAAGGGGCAGAGCGCATTATTGCTGTATCTAGTAATACACACTTGCCTATCCACCATCAATCCTGGTGGGCTCTGGAGGAATAAATCACTTTTCCCCCCAGACGAGGAGGTCAGGTAGACAGACAGTTGCTTTAAAAACAACCCAAGGTTTTAGCTAAATTGAATTGGCACGCAGTACTGTGGCCAGTGCCAAAAACAATTTGAAAACAGACCACTTCAGGAAGCCTTTTGCATTTAGCAGCAAGCGGCGGCGAAGTGGGAGGCTCTTTCTCTCATGAACTGCAGAACCAAAATATTATAAATAAAAATGTTGCAGCCTCGGCGCCGGCATTTTGGAAAGGACCCCAAGCTGGGTCTAGGCTGGGGAGGGTGGACATTGCTTTTGCGTGTCTCCCAACGTTTCCTCTGCTGTGTCCAAACCTTGAGGTTTCCTGGAGTTGCTTAGCATCTCACCCGAATAGAGGAACACACAGCTTCCTCACTTGGGCCTTTTTTGGAGAAGCTTCATTGATACCGCCCTCATTTGGCCCGAGTCAATTTGATGGGGAGCAGGGGCAGGGTGGAGGGCGGAGCAGCTGGTGTGTTGCTCCTCCCCCTTTCTGGGGAAGAAAAATACTTCTCTCTTTTATTCTGCAAAACATTCTCAGCTGCCTCAGACAGTGGGAGGAGACCTTGGTGTAATCAAGGATTCCAAAGAAGCTTAGCTCCCAGCTCTGGACAACGTTTGGAATTGCCTCTGCCTCCTTCATAGCTGCTGGTGAGTACTTTCGACTGCTTGGCATGGAAGACTTTAGGGCCTAAGGTGGGGTGGCTGGCTTCCAAGCCTTCCATTATCCCTGGAAATTCACCACATGCTACCATTAAAACTTATCTTCCTCTCCAGATTGCCCTCTCATCCAGCATAGGAATAAGCAAGCTGTAGCACTTTCCAATTAGCAAATTGATGAGCATCTCCCTGCTAATATATGAAAGCAGGAACAGCAGAGGAGATGTGTTGAGTGAAAACATATTAGCTTGGTCTCTGGTATAGCTTGTTGACTGGCACCTGCTAGCTACTGAACATGCCCCAGCTGTTTGGGTGGGGCTGGAAAGAAAGGACTCTCCTTCCTTGGAGGTTTTTAAGCAGAGGTTGGGTGGCCATCTGTCATGGATGCTTTAGCTGAGATTCCTGCATTGCAGGGGGTTGGACTAGATGCCCCTTGGGTCCCTTCCAGGTCTAAGATTCTATGATTCCATGAATGGGGAGATACATTTCTTTTTCCATCAAAGCTCACAACAAAGTGGTTGCGGCTGAGTAACAGAGCATCTGCTTTGTATGCCCCAAAGTCCCAGGTTCAATCCTGGGCATCTCCTCTGCTGGATAATCAAATACTTAAAATACTTTGCCTCTGCTGATAAATCAATTCACGGTTGCCCCAAACCCTGGGGAGCTGCGGCCAGTCTGTGTAGACAACACTGATCTAGGTGGACCAAAGGTGTGGCTCAACATGAGGCAGTTTCCTATCCAAAGGCAGTTGGAGGCTTTTGCATTTGGTTTGCAAGAAAAAAAGGGAGATGCTTCATTTGGCTCCAAGTGAATGCTGATGCTTTTTAAAGGGGGAGATGAACATTGTTTTACAAGCTGGCATTGGGGAGTTGCCTGCTCCCCGTTGCTCATCATGCACAGTTGGGAGTTCGTTCTATTAAAAAAATGCTGTTAAGTTTCCAGCAGTCTCTGTGCACGAGGAGAAAATGAAACAATCTCGCACAGAAGACTGGCCTCGGAAAAGGTACAGGATGCGAAACATTCCGTGAGTTTCTGAATGATAATTAGAATGGAGTCTGTGGCTTAATTGGCTGTTTGTGAGAGAGGAAGAAAATGAGACATCAAAGGCAAGCGGCTGGGGGGAGAGAGGAGACAAATTTGCTGCTTGCAACCATATTAGGGAACTTCCAAATACAGAGAGTTTTAATTCATAACCGTATTTATACAGTGGTACCTCGGGTTACATACACTTCAGGTTACAGACACTTCAGGTTACAGACTCCGCTAACCCAGAAATAGTACCTCGGGTTAAGAACTTTGCTTCAGGATGAGAACAGAAATCGGGCTCTGGCGGCGCAGCGGCAGCTGGAGGCTCCATTAGCTAAAGTGGTGCTTCAGGTTAAGAACAGTTTCAGGTTAAGTACGGAACTCCAGAACGGATTAAGTTCTTAACCCGAGGTACCACTGTATAGGAACCTTATGAGTGTCTGACCAGACTTGGGGGGGGGGGGGCACGATTTCTGGGGCAACACAAATCCGAGGTTCGAAATCCGCGAGTGACATCATTTCAACACACGACTCCTGCTGCATCTCAGCGTTTGACTCTTGGGGAGCCTGACCCTTCTGGTCTCTTCTAAACAATCCCACACAAGGCCCTTCCTCTCCCATCCAGGCCTCTTCTTTACTGATTGATCCCTGGATAAAAGTCGAGAGTGAGGGAGGGAAGAGCTATTTTACCCATTACGCAGAAAGAGGTGTCTGACTGAGGTGGGAGCATTGCAGCTGGGGCGTGGCTGGGAGGGGGGCTAGAGACCGGGGTTCCCCACTCCCTCATTCACCTCAACTGTGGCTGCCCTCTGGGCTAGTCACTATCTCTCACCACAACCTATTTTGCAGGGTTTTTGTGAGGATAAATTGGACGGGGGAGAGAAACCACACATGCTGTTGTCTTGAGCTCCTTGAAGGAAAAGGATTGATGTGTTGTTATCATTTATTTTTTTTAAGTGAATTAACTAACTTCCCTAATGAACCCGCAGGGATAGGCAAAAACACCAACCATGCAGGAGACTTGCAGACAAGGGTGAAATAGTTCTGCGAAGCCCCTTCTCAGACAGAGCTGGTAATCAGAAAACAAGGAAGACAGCAGTGAAGGCACAAGCAGCATTCATCAATAGAAACAACCTTTTTGAATATTTATACATTTCAAAAATGTATTTATGGGAAAGCTGTATACTGGGGAGAGGGGGGGAGGTTTAGGACAATAGTGCTAAAGCTCTCCCACCCTGACGGACCTCCTGAAAATTGTTGGGGGTCTCAGCAGGCTACTTAATAAACTACTTTTATCCTACAGATGGAAGAACATGCAGGATCCATACTTCAATACCTTTCTACTGCGACGGATGTGGGTGTGTTTGTGAGCCAAGTTCTAGGAAGGCAGGATGGGGCAGAGATATTTTGGGCTGTTCGGCAGCCTTTTTTTGTGCACTGCCTGAACCAAAGCTTGGAAGACCACAGTTTGAGGAGCAGCGTATTGTAGCAGTTAGAGCATTGCAGTAGGACTTGGGAGGTGCCCCTGAATGATCACAACCTTGAACTCTTTGGAGGAAACAGGGGTTATACAAATAATAACAATCAAGCAAACCTCTGGCTTAGGATAGCCACACACTGGCAAAACTGGGCATCTCCCCCTTCATAAATGAATGGTGGCCTCTAGAAGGGAGTAGGAGAGAGCGAAAACCAAGGTTGCTTGGACAGAACCTTGTGCAGAGCTTGGGAACTCATCCTCCCTGATCATTGGCTGTGATGGGAGGGGATGCTGGGAACTGGAGTCCAACATCCTCTAGAGCTGAGTTTCCCAAACTTAGGTCTCCAGCTGTTTTTGGACTACAACTCCCATCATCCCTAGCTAGCAGGACCGGTGGTCAGGGATGATGGGAACTGTAGTTCAAAACCAGCTGGAGACCCAAGTTTGAGAAACCCTGTTCTAGAGGGTCACAGGTTTCCCAGTCTGAGATCCAGTGTAGAATTTGGAGCATGGGTGGCAACTTGAATAAAATATGGGGGGCAGGTAAGGCTCACCTCGCACAATCAATCACATGATGCAGCATGTGCATACCATTTGAATGGCAATACCTATCAACTTTGAGGGAGGACGGCCCTGTCAAATATTTTTTTTGGGGGGGGGGCTGAAGGGACCTCGGCCCCTAGGAGTTGGCTCTGGAGAGAGGTAGGTATAGCAGACCTAGACCTTCATGTGTTATGGATGTAGCCACAGCTGGTAGCCGAGGGGCACAAATCACAGCAGTTCAGAGTTGATGGGCTCCTTAGACCTCAGTTCTGTCTCTAGCAAGGCTAGGCAAGGCCTAGGGAAGCTTTTTGCACCCAAGGGCTGCAATCTCTCCCGGGCAACCTCCCTTGGGCCACATATCAGTGATGGGTGTGGCAGAGGCAAAAGTAGCCAGAGCAACAAATGGGTTGTTGTTTTTTGCCTTTGTACAGTAGACTACTTTCGACACACATTCACACACACACACACGGAATAAGCTTCCTCTTATTTTAATTAACTAACGGCTTTCTGGAGAGCCTCCCCCCCTCCATTAAACCTCACTGCAGTGCTTCACACAGTGGTTTGGCAACCACTCCCTGAACAGCTTGCCTAGGCCGTCTGCCACCGCCATGACTTTCTTGCCTACTTGTCTGCTGTTCTGTCATCACACTGAAGTGGGCCACCTACTGGTGGCCCTGTGAACTGCAGCTTGATAACAGCCTTACATGTACACACACACACACACACACACACACACACACACAGTAAAACTGATTCATTTTTTTACCCACACTGTCATAAACTCTACGCAAACGAGAGGTACTTTCATTAGCTCAAAAACATACTGCTTGATATATCCTTGATATTCATTGTTCCAGAACAGAATGAAAAATGCCCGCCATTCCAGAAAGTTCATAGAATCATAGAATCATAGAACTGGAAGAGACCCCAATGGCCATCTAGTCCAACCCTCCTCTGATGCAGGAACCTAAACTTAACAGGAATTTGCTTGCTTCTGAAACATGTCACCTTCACCATTACTGAAAGCACAAAAAACAATGTGCAGACTTATTCAGTTTATTTCTACTTGTTTTGCATCTCCTTCCATGGAGGTTTTTAAGCAGAGGTTGGGTGGCCATCTGTCGTGGATGCTTTAGCTGAGATTCCTGAATTGCAGGGGGTTGGACTAGATGACCTGAGGGGTTCCTTCAAATTCTACAATTCTATGATTCTATACTACTACTACTACTACTATCACTACTACTAAATTAATAATAAATTTTATTTATACCCTGCCCTCCACGGCCAGAACTAGGCTCAGAGAGGCTAACGCCAGTAAAATTACAGTAAAAACATAATAGGAGGAAAAAAACCAGGTTAAAAAAATACAGGTTAAAATACAATTTAAAATGCAGCCTCATTTTAAAAGTAGCCCATAGATCAAAACCATAAGGGGAGGGAAACATAAGGGTTAGACTGAGTCCAAACCAAAGGCCAGGCGGAACATTGTTTTCCATTGTGAGGAACCTCTGAGTAGGATTTCCAATTCTGGAAGATCAGGGATCAGGGATTATATCTGAGGAAAGGTGGACATTTATCAGCCAGCATAAGGACTTTGCAGCCATTCAGGGTTTTTCTGGTGCTTTTCAGCGACATCTCCAACTTCCTTCCTTAGGAATGTGCCTGCTTCCCCACTGAATGTCTTTTGCGTCTTATTTTCTTTTGCAGACATTTTGGTCCAGGGAACATCTTTCCTCAAACAGAGACTTTCCATCACCATGCAGGCTGCCCTGGGACTTCTCCTCTTTTCTGTGCTTCTTGCTGGAGGTAATTAGAGACTGGAGAGATATCCAGTTCATTTTCATGAGAACCAGCCCAATTTGAACTTTACAAGAGCCTTGAGCTAGCCTTCAAAATTTGACCCTGTGGGTCTCCACCCCCCACAATAAAAAAAGAGAATTGTAGAGTTGGAGGGAACAACTAGGATCATCTATCCCAGTGTTTCCCAACCTTTTCCCGACAGTGACCCCCTTCCAACCTTGTTTTCTTCCTGTGCCCCCCCATGGGTTAGTCAAGGGGGGCAGGGGGCAGCAGCACCCCAAGAAGTAATATATGGGAGAATTTTAAAAAGTAAGTGGTCCTCACTGACCTGGTGCAAAAAGATCTTGTCATCCGGAGGAGCCCTGACTCCCTAGATAAAACACTATAGCCCCACACACCCTTACTTGGGAGTCAGACCCACTGAACTCAGTGCAGCTTTCTTCTGAGTAGACACTTACCGTATTTTTCGCACCATAGGGCGCACTGGACCATAGGGCGCACCTAGTTTTTAGACGGGGAAATCAATAAAAAAATCTCCCCCCCCCAGCCCCAAAGAGCAGCGTACAGGTTGCACACAACCTCTCCCTGCTGGAGGAGTTGTGCGCGGCTATGGAACAAGCCAAGGCGGCGAGTGGGATGGATCCCGCTGGCTGCTTTGGCTTCCTCTTTAGCCCCTCGCAATGCCTCCCTGCCGGGAGAGGCTGCGCAGGGCTAAAGAAGCCATAGCCCCGTGCAGCCTCTCCCTGCCGGAGGGGTTGCGCGCGGCTATGGAACAAGCCAAGGCAGCGAGCGGGATCCATCCCACTCGCTGCCTTGGCTTCCTCTTTAGCCCCGCGCAATCTCTCCCTGTCCAATGGAGCGAAAAATACGGGTAGTTATTTCCTAGATGCAAGTCAGCAGCCCCAGATGACCTCGCTTGGCTAGGTGCTGGGGTGGATTTCTGTTCTGTTGTTCTTCCCAATGGGAAGGGGGGGGAGGGAAATTTTAGGGCATCATAATGTCTGCCATAATAATGTACGTTTGTATTATGCACATACATAATAATGTATGTACTGGGTTGTTTTCCTGGACGAGGGCTGGGATTACCATAGTAATCCCATAGTATGATTACCATACAGGATTATATTATATTTTAGGGCAAATTAAACTTCCCCTACTTTATTCCTAGTGGTGAGAAAAGGGGAAAGAACAAAAATATGCGAATGGTTTAGAGGGCTCAGCATAATGCCATCCCTCATCTCCCATCAAAAGGCAGTTAATTGCTCAGTTGTGTTATCATTTCTGGCTTTATTTTACACACACCCTTTTTATTCCCTTTCCCCAGCTAGTTCTTTGGAATGTGAAGTATGCAGCAGTAACGCTAAAACTTGCTCTGGACGAAAGGTGACTTGTGAAGATAAGAATGAGGTCTGCCAACGTTTAGTGACTGAAGTTGGTGGTAAGTGAGAGGGAGCCTAAGTCTTTCTCAGCCAATGGTAATGCTGTGCTGTGCGTTATCCTCGGGAATATATGAAGTAGCCTAGTGGGTGGAGCGATGGTTGAATGCGGGAAATGTATGGTCATTCAGATGTTCCTGAATTCCAACACCCAGCACCCCTGACCCTCAACCATGCTGGCTGAGGCTGATGGGAGATGGAGCCCCAACAATACATGTAAGGCCACACCTTCCCCACCAGTGAAGAAAGGACAACTGTGTGGTGAGTCCACCAATGTCTGGAAGGGCACTGACATATATGGATTCAAGTTTGGCTCACCTGCGTTTTGCTTCAAAGACATGTCCCATTTTATTTTTGAATTACAGCCCTTTCCTGGGGTAAGAGGAAAATTCCAGAGCAAACTTTTCAAATGCAAGAAGAATTTGGAGAGAGAGAGAGGAAGGGACTTATAATTGCAGTGGGGGCTTCTTCCCTCCTTCCCTTTTCTTTTTCTTTTCAGTTTAAATTTTTTATTTTCAAAGTTTTAAAACAATTTTACACACACACACATACACGTTTACATTAAACCACAATCCATATCAGTACATTTATGGGGTTCCCTGAACCCCCGGACTTCCCCCCTCCTCTCCCTTGGCTTCCAAAATTTATATTTCTTTTTTACTGCATCTAATTACATTTATCTAAATTATTACACATCAATTTTATCCTTTGTCGTTTTAAATTACAAGTGCCATATCACTCCTGCTAACCTTTTTAAATGTTTACAGTGTTCCTTAACATATTCTATAAAGTTATGCCATTCTTTGTCGAATTTATTATCCTCTTGGTGCCTGATCTTCCCAGTTAGCCTTGCCATTTCCACATAGTCCATCATTATCCATTCTTCTTTCAATGGCGTTCTTTCTTCTTTCCGTCCCTGGGCAAATAATATTCTCAGCTTCTTTCCTCCTTTCATTGCCGCTATCATGATCATTCTTACCATTCCCCCCTCCCCCCAATTGGCGGTGAAGGAGCAAAGATTTGGCTAATGCTACAGTCGTTCTGCTTTCCCACAGAACTCTGCCTTTTGATGCTGACAGCTTGAATGACACTTAAACGAAAAGAAAACACAAGAAAGAGAAAAAGATCCCCCTTCCCCTTAGTCACGTTTGCAATCAGTCTCCCCAACTGCAGACTCATTCCACACAAACACACAAAAAGGAACTGGCGCCTGTGAATGGGGAGTGATCCACAGCCATTAATAGCTGGAATTGATGTGGAAACATTTCCCCCACCCCATGACCACAAAGAAAGTACTGTAATGCACTTAAGGATCCTTTTATGGGATATTTATTAGCAACCTTTAGGGTCAACCCTTCTCAAACTTGCTTCCAGTAAGATGTCTTAATGCACAATGCACCATCAATTTCAAATCCCAAAACAACAGTGCACATCTTAAATTTGCCCCGTACGGGAAAGTTGCACAGTCCTTAGTTAAATTCTGGGATTTGCTTCCATTATGCAGTAATGGCTACCACTGGGACAGCTGCCCCATTTAAAGGGGGATTAAGAAAATGCATTGTGCACCCAGCTGTCCACGGCTATTAGATATGACATATATCTAGTACCTCCAGTGTCAGAGACAGCATGCATCTGAATATCAGCTGCTGAGGAAAACATGTTGGGAAAGTGCTGTTGCATCCATATCTTGCTTCTGGTCTGCCCGTAGGAATCTGATTGGCCATGGTATGAACAGAAGGAAGGACTTTGGCTTCATCTAGTGGGATCCTTTTTCTGTTCTTTCAATAAAAATAAGATTGATTTTGAAAAACCCATAACCAGCAGCAATATGACAGAAACACCCAACCCAGTCTCAAAGTAGCGATGTAGTACATTTTCAGGGCCGGCTCACCCATGAGGCAAGGTGAAGTGACAGCCTCAGGCAGCAGACTCCACATGGGCAGCAGATCTGGCCTCTAAGGAATGCATCATCTGCTGTTGCCACCACGGTGGTGTGTTTCTTGGAGGCTGGTTTTACCGTCTCCCCGGCAGCCCCCTCCCAATGCCGCCTCTGCAGATGCCCGTTGGCGAATAGGAGGCACTGCTGGTTTCCTCCTGCTCTTGTTCCTGATGTAGATCTTCTCTCACACCTTCTTCCCTGACTGGGGGTGGGGGGAATGGGGACGCTACTGCCATTTTGTGGTTTGCCTCAGGTGCCACCATGTCTTGGACTGGCCCTGTGTGTCCCTGTTCTTAGAAACATCCCAAGGAGCCTTTGCAATAAATTCACACGAACACCGTCATATCTTGCTGCGAGTAAAATAAGACGTGTTCTTGTGATTATTTCATGTGGCTCTGATTTTGTTCGCCTCCTTGAGCATGCTATTGAAAAGAATGGATGCCAGTGGCATGGAAATGTATTGTCTGGGCCATAATGGCTTGGAACATTGATTCTGTGGATAACCCATCTTTCTTTTCTACATCCAGGGGCGTTCCACGTCGAAAAGAAGTGTGAGAAGAAGGCTGTGTGTGAGTCTTTGAAAAACCAGTTAGGGAAGTCTGCAACTGGTCAATTTACGGGAGTAGTCAATGATATTGTGTGTGACAAGGCCCCTTCACCTTATGCATCGCTCCTCCTGGCCCTCTCTGGGCTCCTGCTGAAGAATGTCCTCTTCTAATGGACCACGAGCATCAGCTCAGCATGAAACAACGCTTCCACCGCATTACTTGCTCGCATGTCATCTTCTTTGAACTTGCTCCTTTGGCTTTCCAGTTGTTTTTGTCCTCCTGTATGATTGGCTGAATGGAAATGAATAAAAAAATGATACCTGGAGGGAGAAAAGAGTACCTGCTTCTCTTCATTTGGGAATGAGGGGTAGGTGAGGAAGGAATTCCCCCCACCATTCACACTGGCTAGCTCAAGGTGTGACAACCTCCAGATGTACCACACCGTCTGGGCTAGGGAAGAGCTGGCCCCTCAGCCTAATTAGGACTGCCCCTTGACCTTTCAAATGGCCCACGAGGCCATTTTGTTTTCTTTTTCTTTACAAACCATGCCCGTCTGTCAGTCATGTGATGTTGCCTTTCAATCATCCTGGCCATCTGCTATTGACGCTGATGATTTGTGCCTCACTGCAGTGTTTACTGGGCAAGTAGAGCTTCAGCCGCTGCATTCCGTGAGGCTGTTGTTCTTCATCCCCCCCCCTTATTTCTTCATTTGAAATAGATGCATCCTTTGCTAAGGTTGTTGTTGTTTAGTTGTTTAGTCATGTCCAACTCTTTGTGACCCCATGGACCAGAGCACACCAGGCACTCCACCAGGCACTGTCTTCCACTGCCTCCCGCAGTTTGGTCAAACTCATGCTGGTAGCTTCAAGAACATTGTCCAACCATCTCGTCCTCTGTCGTCCCCTTCTCCTTGTGCCCTCAATCTTTCCCAGCATTAGGATCTTTTCCAGGGAGTCTTCTCTTCTCATGAGGTGGCCAAAGTATTGGAACCTCAGCTTCAGGATCTGTCCTTCCAGCGAGCACTCAGGGCTGATTTCCTTAAGAATGGAGAGGTTTGATCTTTTTGCAGTCCATGGGACTCTCAAGAGTCTCATAATTCAAAAGCATCAATTCTTTGGTGATCAGCCTTCTTTATGGTCCAGCTCTCACTTCCATACATCACTACTGGGAAAACCATAGCTTTAACTATAAGGACCTTTGTCGGCGAGGTGATGTCTCTGCTTTTTTAAGATGCTGTCTAGGTTTGTCATCGCTTTTCTCCCAAGAAGCGGACAATTCCACACACTCTTCCTTCTTCCCATCTCTGGCCAGGAGAGGCCTTTGGAGAAGCAGTGCAGGGGAGAAGGTGTTGGTCTTTAGATCTTTCTTTTTATTTGAAAGCAGCTCTTGTGGGACTCCGCTCAATTAAAACTGACATTTGTGTGCATGCGTGTCTAGCATCAGCTAGACTAAATTGTAGGGATTCGGTCCACATTAACACCATACATTGAAAAGCATCATGAGACCACACAGCTTCGCCCAAAGAATTTTGGGAGCTGTAGTCTCTTAAGAGTGCAGAAGGTTGTTAGGATACCCCAATTTCTTTTAGAGTGCTGCAATTTTCAGAGTTCTCTGGGAGGAGGGATTGATTGCTAAACTAGGGGTCTCCTGAAAATTCTCAGCACCTGTAACAAACTTCTTTTCCCAGGATGCTTTTGGGGGAAGATGTGACTGTTTAAAGTGTTACCTTTGTGCTTTAAATGTATGGTGTGAATGTGACCTTAATGAAGAGGTTTAGTTTAAAACACTTCCTGATTCTTTGTCAATTGTTGCTGCTGCAACCTGATCTCAGCTAACAGCAGCAGTCCTATTATTTTGGTTTTTTTTTAATAAGATATTTATTAAGATTTTCAAAATATTACAAAATGAAAAATGAAAAAAGAAGAAAAAAAAATACAATACAAAATAAAAGTAGTTAAAAACAATTCAATCTTTCCATTACTTATCTTTCATTTGCTTGTTTCCCGGACCTCCTCACACCTCCCTTTTCTGTATTCCAATTCAGTTTGTTAGTTCAGCAAATCCTTCCCCTCTTTGTTTATCCTAGTCTTTAATCTTAAAATATTGTAACATTAAATTTTTACCTATTAATAATCCATTTTTCATATTCCCTTATAATATTGCAGCTAAAAACCACTTAATTTCTATCCAACATCATTCTGACATTCATTAACTTTGAAGTATTTCTGTAAATAGACTTTTCCCATTCTTTCTTTCACCAATTAATCATCCACTTTTACTTTATTTAATCTTATTTCTCTTAAAACTTATATATCTAAGCTTATTCTTAAAACTTTTCCCCTAGGGTCAGAAAAAATTCCAATCCATGATTTTCCCATCTCTCATTAAAAGATAAAAACAACAACAGCAAATTATAATATATACATTTTAAATTCCCAATTTTCTTTCACCAACTCCCCTCCCCGGTTTCAGCCCCTAGCGATAGTTCCATCAATCTCGGAAAACCATCAACCCAGAGATCTTAAGTCCGAGGCTCCTAAATCTCTTTCATGTCCCCTCTGCCGGTCTTTTTGGTAGTCTTTGGTGTTAAAGAACAGATCTCGGTGAAGCTCCAACCCGTTGGTAGTCATATTCCTTCTTAGCAGGTATGCCAGACTTCCGTAGTTAGAAGTAGGGCCTATAGGATATTCCAAATCTTGTTTCACACTCCTTTCAAATCCAAAGGCCCTAAAAACTCCAGCCTCCGCCTGACTCAGATTTGTGTCCCAAAAGTCATTTGATCTCCACATAGGGTGATCTCTCCATCTTTCATTTTCCAAACCAAGCCGGGCTTCCATCTCCAAAAACTGGCTCCTCATAGTTGCCATCCTGTAAGGCCTCAAGTTATAGTCCACCATTTGCCTCTGTAGGGTTACGGCTCCTCCTTGCATCACTTTAATCACAACAGATTCCTCCTTCTCAGATTCTTCAATTTGTTCAGTTGGAAAAGATTCTTGTGCCGGATTCTTTTCAACTTCTTTACTAATGCCCACTTTTGTTCCCAAGGTTACAGCATTAGTAGCCATAACATTTATCTGGTCTTGCAGCTTTCCCAACAAATAAAATGTTCTATTCAATTGACACTCGACTTCCTTCCCGACCGCCATCCTTAAGAAGTCCAAGGTCAAAGCTAGTTTCTCAAAACTTTTATCTTAAGCAATTTCCCAACTGCATCCTTACGACAATATCCCAGAGCTCCCTCTAGAGGGACACAAGTTCCTTTTATCACTCCTTCCAGCATAGTCCCAAAGGTCCCAAACGTAAGATTGTAACAATTCCTTCCTTCTTTTTAAATACTGAAACGGATAGTAGAAACAAAGTCTTTCTTTTATATCTTGATAGCTAGCTTGTATCTTGACAGCTAACTTGACAGCTGTCAGATTTATCCGTCAACGGGCTCTCACAGACCGCTCCCGGTTTTAGGGAAATGGCGCTTCAGTTCCCAAATTTTAACCCTCACCTGCAGGCTTCCCTGCTTCTAAGAAGATATTGATAGTAGTTTCAATCAGTGGAGTTTAGATCCTTTACGTAAGACTTTCCGCGACCTTAGTTAACAAGTTCTTTGCTTCAGTTGCTTTTCTGATGTTAGGATTTAAGTCTTTTTTCAAACGTCTTTCAAAGTTTCCTCTTACAGTCTCTTTGCTTTGATCTGTTTACAAGAACGGAAGGCGGACTTCCTGTTTATGCCTTCCCGCTTCGGTGCCGAATTAAGTTATTTTCCCCTTTAAATCCAATTTTATCCTACTCACGGGTAGTTGCTTTCGAAGTCAAATTGTCCCAGGAAAAAGTCAGCGCTCTCCGATAACGGCTGGGCGGCTTCACTCCACGGAAGAAGCAGTCGACTCTCAGCACCGCGCCGCTCACCCCGTCTCGCTCCGGAGCCTGTAAAAGGGTCCCTTTGCAGGTTGGGGGGGGCGCAAAAGGTGCCCGCCAAGTCCCCACGTTCACAGGCTTCACCCGCCTGTGATTTTTGAAGGGTCCCCGCTTCGCCGCAGCGGTCAGACCCGATCCCGCGGAGCTGGTCCCTCAGAAACTCAGAGGGAATCCGCCATTACCGATGGCGCCAACCCGGAAGTCCATAGCAGTCCTATTATTTTGAAGGAGATTCTTCTTACGGCTAAATGGGAGGTTAGGAATGGGGCTTTATATTTCTTTGTATCACAACCCTGGTGTGAAATTCCATGCCATGGCTAGATTCTGATTTAAACAGAGGCACTATTTGATTTATTTTTAATTTTTTAACCTTTCCCCTGCTCCTGATGCATTTGGCAATGATTGGGTTTTCTTATTTAATTGATTTAATCTAACAGAATTTATATACTGTTGGATAGTAAGAAAAACTTCACAAAAATATAAAATAAAAATTTAAAATTATTAATAAAACCAGGTATTTAGGAATTATTCAAAAGATGATTGAAATCAACAGAAGCTAAAATGAGATAAAACACATGAAGCTTCTGCTTGCCTAAACAAAAAATCATGAGAGTTGAACAGTACAATTCAGACTATTTAGCCCAATCTACGACACAATGGCTCTATAATGAAGGATACAATTACAGGACCTTAGCAAAGCGTCATCTGGCGTCTACTTAAATGCTTCTGGTGAAAGCGTCCCAAAGCTTCCAGGGCAGACGATTCCCCTTCCTTAGCCTTTGAAAGCATGGTGATGATAAGCCCATGGTGGAGTCTGGAGGAAGAAGGTTTGGCAATAGTTTGCAGCATTCAGCAAATGCAAGCTTCGTCATAGAATCATAGAGTTGGAAGAGACCACAAGGGCCATCGAGTCCAACCCCCTGCCAAGCAGGAAACACCATCAGAGCACTCCTGACATATGGTTGTCAAGCCTCTGCTTAAAGACCTCCAAAGAAGGAGGACCACAGACAGCTCCCAGGGAAGAGACAATTTGTGCTCTGTGTTAACTGAGCCATTATATCTGTGAGCCTCCAGATGTTGGGCTATTTTGCTGTGAAAACCAAAATGTCACTGCCTCCTTTCTACATACAGAAAATCCAGTTAGACTTCAGCACTGACAATGGGAAACACTTCCCCCCAATTGTTTCTGATGCCACTTCTGTTATCTGCTGCCTAAGGCTACATTCACACCATAAATTAAAAGCAGCAGGATACCAATTTACACAGTCATGGCTTCCCCTGAAGAATTCTGGGAGTTGTTGTTTGGGAAGGGTGTTGAGAGTTGTTAGGAGACCCCCTTCCCCATTTCTCTCTCAAAGCTGCAATTCCCAGCATTCCCTGGGAAAAGGGATTGATTGTTAAATTACTCCGAGAATGGTAACT